CACTGTGGTAACAGTAAGATCTCTGGAAAGGAGGCATGCTGTATGAAGGAGGTACTTAACTACAGTTTCCAACATCCTGCCAGGAAAAAAATGCTGTTTGCCTTCTCCCATGCTTTCTTGGTCTAGTTTAGGATGGATTTTTGGACGGCTCTACGCCACAGGCATAATATTAACAATGATTCCTGTGGGTCATTATTATCTTACCCTCTAGCAGAAAAACCTAACCAAATAAGCAAATCAAAACCTTCTCCCCAGAGAATGCAGATTTAGGCTAATATCACCCCATCTTCCATTGTTCTCTATGACTTTCCCAAGCAGAAGGGATCACAGAGTTTCTAATCTTATTAAACAAAAATGTATTTCAGAATAGAGAATTAAGAAGGCACTTTCCACACAGTGTTAAGAATTTCATAGTTAATCCCATGTTGTTTCTGCTAATTAGCTACGACACATGAATTGCTGAGTCTCCCTAAGAGATTTCACTGCCAGATCAAAGAGAAAATAGGAGAGGCTCTACTGGAAAGTTGCTACCTGAAAACAAGCTCCTGACACAGTGAAGGGGAAAGCTGAAGATGGGGAGGAGTGGTGTGTGCTGGGCGCTGCACCTGACTGAGAGAGCAGCTTCTCTCAGAAGTCTATTAATTATATGGCCACCTGCATTGTGGGGCAGCCGCTGCAAGAGGACTGCTTTGCCTGAGCCCAGCCTGGGTCGCACAGCCAGCTGCCAGCTAGCCTGCGCTACCGTAGGAAGCTTGTCTTTAAAGAAACAGACTAACTAAATAAATGACTTAAATGAGAACTTAAGAATCTAGAGGTACAATTAAAATCCAGAATCAAAGTACAAGAAACCATAGAGACATAAGCTGGAGCAATTTCCAGAAAGAGAGTCCCGAGGGTCTCCCTGATAATATGCTATGTGACTATTTCTTCCAGGTTCGTGCAGTCAAATATTCTGAGTACATACACAAGCTGCTACCTCACCCTGACATGAGTCACTGGGCATTTTTTGTTTATACGGTGGCCAGTGAAGGCAGCTTTGGGCACCTTTAGAACTGGGCAGGAATCCAGAATCAGACCTGCACTGGGATTTACCTCAAGACTATCCTATTGCCAGCTATGTCTATGAAAAGGTGTGAGGAGTCAGGTAAGTGGGTTTTACTGTTTTTCAGACACCTGCTGCAGAAGTACAGTTAGAGGTTTAAGACCCATATCATAATAGATAATGCAACCACACTGAAGAGGAAGAGAAGAAGTTAAGTAATGTTGGAAAATAATAGTTTGACTGAAAACTGTAAGGCTAAAAGTAAAACTAGACAAATACTGTGCTGTAGATTTGCTCCCACAGTTGTAGACAGGGGTTTTTGTTGTTGTTGTTTTGAGACATAGTCTACATAATCCAGGCTGGCCTTTAACATACTACATATCAGAAATTGGCCTTGGTTTCCTGATTCTCCTCCCTCCAACTTCCCAGTGTTGAGAATATCGGGGGTGCCCTATCACACCCGGTTTCCCCATCACACTCAGCTCTTGGGTTGCAATTCTCAAACTACATTTACAGCGAAGTAGGAGTGAACTACAAGTCAATAGAATATAGATAGATGAACCAGCTTTCATAATAATAATAATTATATAATTATTATAATTATTACATTATTATTATTATTATTATTATTATTATTATTATAATCATTATTATTATGTCAGGGGAAAGTGCTACAAATGCGGTGGAGCACCTGGACTACATTGGAAATATTATGATTTCACAATGATAATACACATTCCGACAGTTAAGGTGTAAATTACAAATAAGGGAAGGGGAGGAAGAACATGACTCCCACCCCTGTACTGTTATACTGGAATTATTATATTGTAATATATATATATATATATATTTCATATACATACACATATATATAAAAGCCTGTACTGTTGTGCTAGAATTAGAATATACATTGGAATTTACAATCCCTGTACTGTTGTACTGGAATTAGAATATATATTGGAATATATATGTATATATATATTTCCTCTGTGGATTATGAAAGAGAAAATAGTAAGTTTCTAATGGAGAAACTCAGGAGACATGTGTTTAACGAAGTGATCAACCACTATGTACTGCTTGACATGTAGGAGAAAGGCACCATATCATTCCTGGTGGTATTCTTACCAAAAATCTCATTCCAAGGAAGAGACACCCCAGAAAACCTCAATTGAGATGAGTTACAAAATACCTAACTAGTTCTCTAAACAAAATTCCAAAAACAAAAAAAAAAACCAAAAATAATACCAAGGTCATGAGTTCAGGGAAAGACTGAGGATCTGTCATATGAGGAAACTACGAAGACACCTGAAAAGGGGCTGGATTCCGGGTTGAGTCCTCGGATAGGAGAAGGGTGTCAGTGGGAAAGTGAGTGATGGTCTACCAGGTCTCTCTCAGTGGTAACAATTTCCTAGACTGACCACTAGACTTGCTCACCACTGGAAAGGTCCAGTGACAGGGTTCAAAAACTATCTAGTAAATTTTTGTACGTCTTCTGTACACCAAAATCAACCTGCAAAATAGAACCTTAAACATAATAATGCATGAGCAAAAAAACTCAAGTGTAATTTGTGGCAAAACAAGGGTCATTCATTCAAATATCGTCACTTTTCTAAATACATTGACATGTCCTTTTCAAACAAAGCAACCAGACTTAGATGGTGTAGTACTTTTGCTATTATTAACTCTGCAACTCCATCTAAAACATTATTATATCTATAACACAGGATTTTTATCATAGAATAGAATGCACTGCAATTTTTAAATTAAGGTTTTAGGAAACATGTCTTATTTCTGATTGGTTGCTAAGATATCATGCATGCTTTCTTTGTGCCTTCTCAAGATGCCCTGAATATAAATTCTTTCACTATTTTCTTTTATTGTCTTACGTGTGTGCGTGTACTATCTACATACTATATACTTACATGCCTGGTACCTGTGCAGGCCAGAAGATGGTGTGGGATCCCCTGGAATTGGAGTTGTAGACAATTGTGTGCCACCATGTGGAAGCTGAGAATAGAAGCTAGTCCACTGGTGGAGCAGTGCATGCTCTTAAACACTGAGCCCTCTCTCCAGCTGTGTGTGTGTGTGTGTGTGTGTGTGTGTGTGTGTGTGTAGCTCTGGCTATCACAGAACTCAATATTTAGACCAGTCTGGCCTCATACTCAGGGATCCATCTGCCTCTGCTTCCCAAGTGTTGAGATTAAAGGCTTGAGACATCATCCCTGGCCCATTTTTAATTTTTTATTAGGAATCTTTACTATTGTTATTGAAGTACACACTAACTACATCTATCTCTTGCAAGATACAGAATCTAAGAATCTAAGTCTTTCTTAAAATACTAATCCTAACTCTTTACATTTCCTTCTATTTCTGAAACTAAAATGGATTAAATTTTTAATATTGGAATAAGGACAAATTCTTACCCATCAGTCAAGGATGTCACCATGAAATACATCCACCTTTTAATAGCTCATGTTGACTACTTTTTTTTCCTTTTATTTTAGATATCCATATAACATTCAAATTCCTATTACAGATTTCCAGGGCCGTTCTATGTCTATTCCTACATTTATCAAGCTCCCTTAGTATATTCCTACACTCTTTTTCCACTTGTTAAATCTACTCATTTATGTATTCATTCTATTAATTTTCATGAATTTTAGCAATGCCTAAGGCCCTGGTGTAGGTGTTGTGGGAGCTAGAAAATATACATATTTATCTTTTCTCATCCAACCATCTCATTTACAAGTCTGCCAAGAAATTCATTTTATATGAAACGTTATAATCCCTAATTCATATTTTGATCAATTGCCCTTCACTGAAAGAGCTGCTTCAATAATAAGAGAAGTTGTTACGGTTTGAATCTGAAATGTTCCCTGGAGGCTCATGTTTTGAATGTTTGGTCCATACCTGGTTGAGCTATTCTGGGAGATCCTGGAAATTTGGGAGTGGAAGCCTAGATGGAGAAATAGGTCAGTAGGGGAGGGATGTTGAAGGTACATCTCTGACCACTTTCTAGTTGGCTCTCTGTTCCCTGGATGCTGTGATGTGAACAGCTGTGTTCTACCAAATGCTTCTGCTGCCAGGGTGCTTACTTTAGTGCCAGGGATCATGAACTGAACCTGAAACCGTCATCCAAAATGAAGCTTTCCTTGTTCACATTTTTTTAAATCTGTCAGGTATTTTGGTCACAGAAATTCAAAGGTAACTGGTATGGAGCGTATACATTTGTCAAAAAAAAGTCAGTTACTCAACCATCTACTATGCTTGCTCTTTGGGAATAAAAATAAAAAATTTAAAGCTTTGGAAAATCACTATTTATTGCTTCTATAAAAGTTCTTCTAAATAAAAGAAAAGAAAAAAAAAGTAAATGGGTCATTAGTGAGAGAAGAAGGGATGTAAGTTATCATTGCATGTGGATTTCAGATACCAGAAGGCAAGTGGCTTGTTCTTGTGCTGTCTGCATTGTCTGCATAACTAGGCCTAACTGTCCCTAAGTCTATCAAAGCAGAAGCCCTGCGCCCAAAAACTGCCAAAGGGGTAGTTAAAAGCTATTATAAAGTGGTTTTTCAGAATCCTAAGCATGGCTCTTAGATTCTGGGGACTCACGCACAATTCCACAGCATGGAAGAACACCTCAGATCAGGGACCTGATGCCCTGACCTGTACACCAGCTCAGTCGGCAGCAGGGGAAAAAATGTTGGGGCTGATTTACATATTTAAGATGAACTCTCTATCTCCCCCTCCCTTCTTTTTTGCGATATGGTCTCACCATGGAGCTCCAATGACTCTTGAATTTGCCAAAGCTTGCCTTGTAGTGATCCTTCTGCCTCAGCCTCACAAGAGATGGGATGACAGGTGTGACCCACCATACCCAGCATACTTCATTCCATCTCTGATGGAGCTTCTTGTCATTCATGCTCCCGGATGCTGAATGGGGACACACTGTAATTCTCACCTGGTGATTTTCCTTGAAAGTCCGGATTAGTATTTCCCTCAGTTTTCTTTTTCTTTCTTTTTCAACTTTTTCCTCACCCTGATGTATGTGAGCACTTTCCGTCATTTTTTCCTCTGGATTCCTCTGAGAATTTTCTTCTTGCCTTTTCTTTTCTCTATTAGTAACAATTTTAAAAACAGCTATTAGATTTAATAACGAGTAATTATAGCCTACTGCATTGAATGAACAAACATTAAATGTTACAGAGTAGGGGGACTTTAAAAAAAATCTTAGTTTGTTATTTTATAATATATCAACAAAATCAATTAAGTACTTTGATAAACAGCCCATTAGATGCTTTAACGAAGCATTTTTATTGACATTACTACAAAGTTGCATCTGGATCAAAGTTTGTCAGTTAAGATCTATAAAGTACTCTGTAATGTAGACATGTTTTTGTTTTTCCTTCTGTGTATGTGTGTGTGTGTGTGTGTGTGAGAGAGAGAGAGAGAGAGAGAAAGACAGAGAGAGACAGAGGATACACATGTGCCACAACACACATGTGGGTCTGAGAACAACTGTTTGAGGGCTGGTTCTCTTCCACCTTGGTTTGAAGCAGCCGCTCTTGTTTCAGCCATTGCATTTCTTATGCATTTCTTATGCATTCTTGTCCTGTCTTTGTACCCAACCTGCGCCAGGACTACTGGGATTAAAAATACCAAGCATGAGTCTTTTCTATCAAACACTATAAAACAAGGAATTCAAATCTTTTTATCGCCCCCACCTTATAAGACTTTTATGCAAATGTTTTAATCCTCCCCAACCAGTAAAACCTTTGTTTACACAAAGGTCCAGTGCTCTAGTCTAGGAATTTGAGGGCCTGGATCAGTGACCCTGTTCTCTGAGCATCGACTCTTTTCCCCTCCTCTTTTGTGCCAACTCTTTTCAGACTAGCCAGCTGAAAAACATTGTGAGGCTGGGAAAAGACACAGCCACCACCTGAACTAGAATACAATCCAAATATACTTCCTACTCGGTTTGGTCACTCTTATAAGCAGACCTTCTTTCTTGACCAAGAGTAAAGTTGCCTTGCCCAGGCACTTCAGTTGGAGTTGGCGGTCTCTTTCTTTACAATCTGGAACAACTTCTAACAGCACCAGGTTTTTTAGTTGGTTCTGGGGTTGGCAAGCACTTTTCCCTCTTCACCATCTCCTCAGCCCCTATCTCTTCTTATTAGAGGGCTAAATGAACCCATAAGTAAAAGAGGAAGGAGACTCCTATCATGCCTTTTATAGGTTTTCAAGGAAGAAAAATTAATAGAATCAAAGATTACTAAAGAGAGAATGGAATCTAGAGGCTCTTCCTATCCTTCTCTAACCCTTCTACCCTGTCCTCCCTGCAGGCCATCCTCCCTCACTTACTAACTCAAGTGACCTTATACATTTGCCTCCTTTTTTTTTTTTTTTTTTTTTTTTGAGACTGTCTCATGTAGCCCAGGCAGTCCTTGAACTCCTGATCCTTGTGCCTCCATTTCCTAAGTGGGGAATGACAGTCATTGTCACTACATTTATGTGGTGCTGGGGATCAAACCCAGGGCTTTGTGCATGTTAGGTGAGCACTCTTACCAACTGAACTACACAACCAGTTCCCAAATTTGTCTTTTTATTGGTGTTAATTACAGATGCACATAGATAAAACATATACTATTGATGATGTGGACCAGACAGTAAGAAATGTTGTATCAGCTATGAAAACCCAGGCAATCACCTAGACTTTCAGGAGTTTTACAGTTGTAGAAATTCAAGTAGAGAAGAACCTAGAATACAGACACTATGTCATTCATTTTCACGTGTCATACAGGTGGTGTATAATGTTGTATCTTATTACTGGTGACTCTAGCCTGCTTCACTTGGTTAAGGCTGACTAGTATAAATCTACTGTTCATTTGATTTTCAAATTTATTTTCATTTATGTATCTGTGTGAGTGTATGCCACATGCGTGTAGGTGCCTCACCAGCTCCTCTGGAACTGGAGTTATTGTAGCTGTAAAGCATCCCAGCGTGGGTACTGGGAACTGAACTCCAGTCTTCTGGAAGACCAAGAAATATACTTAACTACTGAGCCATCTCTCTATCCCCAAAGCTATTGTTCTTTTTTTTCTTTTATAATTAATAAATTTCTGTAAGGAAGTATTTTATGAAGTAAAGCAGATTCAGGATAACTTACAAGTAAGACAAAAGAAAAGGTCCTATCAACTAAAAATTGTACTGGATCTTCCCAAAACACTAGTTCTGTAATAATGTCACACTGGATGTGTCTAGTCATGCCATGAGGGGCATTACATAAGTTCTAGTACCTAGGATGGAGCTCAGTGGCAGACTGCAAATGCAAGGCCCTAGGTAAACAAACACAGAATACAGCTCTAGAATGGGGATCTGAGGTTTAAAATAACATCAGGATATATACCCGTCATGAAAATAGTATCTAATCAATTGTGAATATTGCTGAGGCAGAAGAGCCATTCATATTTCTATACAGAAAACAACATTCATAACATGTCAATCCTGCTTCATTATTTAATCAGTGTCTAATAATTTTGTAACATTTAGTTTGTTACTATTAATAATGTTATTTTAGCTGTCACTGTATAAACATCTTTGCATTTCTGATCAGTTCTTAGGGCAATTTTTCTAGAACTAGAATTCCCAGGTCAAAGGAAAATACCACTTGATGACTTTTGTTATTTATTGCCAAATTGCCATCTGAAAAGTTCAGATCAGTTTATCCACCTAGAAGCAGAGTTCATTATCTGTGTCACTATAACCACAGGTAAGACTTAACTTTGATAAGATATGACTGGTCAGCGAGCATGTGTTGAGTGCCCACTGTGAACTGAACAGAGCATCCTGCTTCCATCAATGTTACCCATTTTCACAATTTATTTTAGGTCAGCCTTGCTTTTCAGATTGCTCCCAAGCCTTGAAAAAAATAGGCTGACCTCGGTGAGAACTCACTAAAACACTGGTGATTGCTTTCTGAAAAGAGCAGCATTTGGAGGAGGCCTGAGCAGCGCACTTGAGGGAGTGAAGCACGCGTCCACTGCTGAGCTGTTTGAAATTGGGCAGAATGAGAGCAATCAAGAACACAGGGGGAAAGCTGTGGAGGCTGATGGGGGTGGAAGGATTACCTAATAAGTCTCTCTGGCCCTGAGTATTCAGACACTTTAGTCACGTTGCTGGAAGATTTTTGCAGTTCATGCATCAGTGTTATTTCTCAGAATAAATACATTAGTCTTTTCACCTGTGAAGCTCATTTTCTGCATGAGGATGGATAACGTACTCCATCCTGTGAGGGCTATTGTCATTTTCCTCTTATGTCAGATAGTCGTCTTTATCAGTAACACAGTGACTTGCTGCATGATTATGAGAAAATAAGACCCTAGCACAACTCACAGCAGGCCAGGGGCAATTAAAACCACATGGAAGGAATAAGGAGATATGTTCCACCTTTAAAAATCTTATGGAGCCAAATGCAAACCAGTTACCACGATGCCAGTTAAACATGAAAACAATACTGAAAATGATACCTCCCAGTATAAAGAAGAGTGCAGTAAGCTGGTCACAGTTGGTGACACTGTAAAGATGGACAACTCATTTTCAAAGTAATTTGGCAATGTTTCAAGAGTCACAAAAAGATCTATACCACTTACCCCCTTACACTTACACTCGTAAGGATATATCCTAAAAATATAACTCGAAGGAATGAATGACAAGGTTCTAGGAGTAAAGACATACACTGCACTATTATATTGGTAAATTTTAAAAAGATTTAATTGTGTGTATATGTGTGAATCTGTGTGTGGGTTATGTGTATGAGTGATGTGCACGTGGAGGTCAGAAGAGGGCATCAGGTTGCTTGGTGGTTGTGAGCCCCTTAGGTAGGTTCTGGAAGATGAACTTAGGTCCTCTAGAAAAACATTCAATGCTTTTAGCCACTAAGCCAATAGTCTCTAGCCCTACTGGTAAAAATTTTAAATAGCCAAAATGGTTAGCAATATAGGACGGGGCCATCATGTTGTGGGACAGCAACTCAGTGGGATGATACATACATCTCAGGACTCCAGGCATGTTTGTTTGGTACAGCAGGATAACAAAAGTAAATGTACTCGATAGTTGTAGTTAAGTAGGCAAGGGGACCGTGACCAGGAGAAAACATGGAAAAATAAAAGCAGTTTGTTAAGATGGTGGAACAGTAGGTGTTTAGTGTTTGCAATGGCAGTATATTTTTAAAACCTGAGAGTACTTCTGATATGTCTGCCTTCAGACATACTCCACACTGCTCATTACTAGCTTACATTTTCCATGCTTCTTCCACAGTGTGTCTTCTTTCAATTATCTCCCTCCGCAGCTTTATCATCTCTCTCTGAATCCCCTCCTTCTCTTTCTTGGCCAGTACAGCCTTCCTTCTCTTCTCCTCTTGAACTAGGCACTGAGCCTCCAAGAAAGCTGCTTTTTTCAGGGCATTTTCCATTTCCTGGAACTGCAGTTGTTTCTCACGTCTTAAGCGATTTTCTTTGACCTTACAGAAATCACAAGTAGAATGCATAGGTAGATACTTGGACACATTTTGAAGTTCAGAATACAACCAATTAAAAACATTCTCACCCAGAAACCCATTGCTTATTGGAAAAACAAAGCAGTTCATTTGCTTCCGGGGTGAAAAACCAACACAAAGTTCTATAAGCAATCAGATGAAGAGGACTCTCACCAGCTGGGGATGATTCCACTGCATGATGGGAAAGCTGAGTGCAACACAGGGGTCAGAGCCCAAAGTTTGGATCTTATTCAGAAATGACCTCCCATTCTTAAGCTTGTCCCGTGTATATATGACTACTTTCTCCCTAGGCTCTGCACTTTAGCAATCATTTAAGAAAGACTAGGGATGCCTCAGGCTGGCTGCACTCTGAAGGATGGAACAGTACTCCCTTAAGGAACATTACAAGGCTCTATTCATTTCTATCCTTATTTAAGTCTGCCAGCACCTGTGGCCACAGCTGGAAACCAAAGGCAAGACCTTTATAGATAATTCTAAGCAAGCACATCATCCTTTTCAACACCAACTCTTTGGAGGCTTGCTGCTCTCTTAACTTTACCCCTACTTCTACCCTCTAGTTGTGGTAACGCTTATAGACAATGGGCATATGTCTTATTGAACCTTCCCTTCTTCCTTCTGTTAAACCAGGATCCTACCTCTTCCCATTTCTCTAACATTCCCATGGCTGGCTAGGCATACCTTAATTTTTTAAACAGTGAATATTCACAATTTATAATTAGAAATCTAGTGTTATAAAACGACAGTACACACATACATAGATACTAGTGCCAGTTCAGTCTTGGTCCTGGTCATATGGCAAAGACACGGTCATTCTGAGTTCCCAAAACTCCTTTGCAAGGCACACAAATTGCCTTTTCCTCTATTACCTACTATTCCTTTTGAAGGAAGGAAAGTTCCCATATGCCTTTCCAATTCAAAACAGCTGAACTAGATTTAATTCAGATCTGTCCTCCTTTTCAAATTATAATCACAAAATGAGTGAATTTTACTTGTCTAGAAAAGAATTATCCTTATAATATCCAGCAGAATATTCATGATAATATATTAATGTCACCATTCAAAGACCAAATTGGAGCAAATGCAATCTACATATTTATAATCGGAAGTGCCACATTCACACTAATAAAGTTTAGTTCAGTACTCAACTGGTCAAAATCAATTATTCTAATTTTGGTTATTTCTTAAATAAATTGTTTCCTACTCTCAGTTTATGAGAATTATTTTTCTTCTGAAGTTCTTATATTTTATTTTTATTCTTCCTTACCAAACCACAGATGGCACCCTTTTCATAATAAAGCCTAAGTCTTTATTTAAGCTTATTAAATGTGTTACACAAAGACTGCTTCCTGTTATCCATTTTAATTTTGTTTTTCCCTCCCACCTGCTTATGTCTCATCTCCATGGTAAGACGAGGATCCTTCTGCTGCCTCTTGCCTTGGTTTTCCTTCATTCCAAGCTCTTCCATCATCTTAGAATCCACCACTTCTTTATGGAGCAGATGCTCTATAAATTTTTGAACACTGGCACTTTCCTCTTCTTCCTCCAAATAGCCACATAAATCTGAGAGTGAAAAAAACAACAAAAAGGGAATTAAAAAATAATATTCATATTTACATAAAAATTCCAAAAAATACAAGGCTGTGATTGTTTAACAAGTGGGAAGTAGTAATGGCAGCTGGATGAGTATGGCCCTCACCTTGAGAAAAAAGAACAAAGCTCCATTCATCAGGAATTGTCCTCACCCAAATCACTAAGGACTTCTTCACAGCCAAATCTAAAAGGTATTACTTTAGCCTAAACAACCTCAAAAACTCTTTTGCTTAAAAACAATCCTCAATTGATGCCAACATATAGCTCAGTGGTACAGCTCTTACCCTAGTGCATGTTAGCCCTGGATTTAACCCACGTTCTTCTCCTAGGTGCTGCAGAATAACTATACTATGGTACCTTTTAATGTGTCCACACTAAACTTTTTAAGAAACGATCAGACTACCACGTAAAGTGGGATGCAGCTTTACATCCAACCAGTCCTGTGGGAGTGTCCCAGGGACTCCTTCACATCCTGGCCCAGGCTGGGCGTGGCTAGTGCGTTACCTTTAAGCAACCTGAATAGCAGTGCAGTAGTAACTCACTGTAGGGTTAGTGTATGCTTGCCTAGAGACTCAGGACACTAGTTAGCCTAGGTGACATTAAAGTAGTCTTCTAGCTTTTAGAGTTCATGACTGTGATTCTCTCCTGGGAGATTTTTTTTAGAGTCCCAGCAAGAGGAATAGCACCAGCTGGTTTCACCAAGGCTGCCTGAGTCAGGTGTGGAAAGCTACCCTACCATTACCCTGTTAGCTTACCTTCAGAGGAAAACAAGCAAACAAACAAACAGAACCCCAAGCCCCTGAAGTACAGGAGAAGACCCCTTAGAAGTCTGTTATTTGATTTGTCTGACACTAGCTTTGTACAAAAGAGGAAAAGAAAGGAAAAATCCTGAGAAGAGAAATACCCTCTCTTGTAAGTGAAAATGAATCAAAGTGTAAGAAGCATTTTATAATTATAAAATGATATGTGAATGTGTAAGTGTCCTCTCTGTCAAAGTAAATAGTTATCTGATAATATATGAGCAAGAAATACTTTTAATTGCTACATAAATTCATAGGCAAAATTATAAATAATGGAATATTTTAATTTTAAAAAGCAATAGGAACTTACTAACTAAGGATATAGCAACAGAGATTTATATTCAATCAAGAAAAATTAAACTTACGAAGATAAACCAGACACAAGCCAAGTGTATCATTTATTATTTAAAACAATAAAAAACACTTCTTAGAAACATTCATTAGATGTTAAAGCTTAGAAGAACCAGATAAGTTCTTACCATCAAACTTGTCATACTTCAAATGGCCATGGGTGTCTAGAACACTGCTTGGCACAGTGTTTTCCCCTTCTCCATCACTTGCTAATTCTTGTTTAAGTTTGTTGTCTAGCCAGTCATTGACTAGCTCCTGAGCTATCAGCAGAACAAAAACATTTTTTAGTATTTCATTGACTTACAGGCTTCCTGTATTTGCTGTTTTCATTCATTCATTCATTCATTCATTCATTCATTCATTCATTCAGTATTACTTGAACACCTACTATATGACAAGTACTATTTAGGTACTAGGAATATAACAGGGAACAAACTGGAAAGAGAATGTTACCACCGTGAGGCTAACAGTCTGAATCAAGGGAAAATGACAAATAAACAAGATAAAAACAAAGCAGGGGAATAAGAAATGGAGACTAAGTGTTGTTGTTTTAAATTGGGTGGTCAAGTAGAAGATATCCAAGCAAAGGATGATTGTGAGTGAGCCATATGGATATAGAGGGCAATACAAGGGGAAAGCCAGCTCAAAGACCCTGCTGCACAAGTCTAGAGGACTGAAGAAGTGTCTGGGAGGGCAGTGTGGTTTGAGAAATGATGGAGAGAGAGATGAGAATAGGGTTGGGAGAGGGATAGCAATAAGATGGAAGAAGTGATATACAGATCAGGCTGAGAGCAGTGTTTATCAATGAGGAGTGATCTTGCCCCTCATTTGAAATATAACAAAGCTGAAGCCATTTTTGGTTGTCACAACAAAAGGAAGTGATAACAGCATATAATGTTTCAAGGTTAGGATACTGCTAAATACCCTGTTCACAAGACAGCCTCCCCACGACAACAATACCATCTTGCTCCAAATGTCAGAAGACCTGAAGCTGAAACCCTTTTGTTTAGAGTCCTGATACTCTGCCACTGTAGGCATCCTGTCTACTATTCTAAGTGTGAGAAGCCACAGGAGGGTTGTGAGTAAAGAGCTCCCTAGCCCTCTTTCTGAGACAGGATCTCACTGTGTAGCTCTAGATGACCTGAAATTCACACTGCAGACCAGGCTGGCCTTGAATGCACAGAGATCCACCTGCCTCTGCCTTTGTAGTACTTGGATTAAAGATGTGTGCTACCATCCTGACATTTGTTTTATAATTTATTTATTTTTAAATTTTCTTTAATTTTTATTTTAAATATATGGGTGTTTTGCCAGCATGTATGTCTGTGTACCATGTAAGTGCCTGATGGCTGCAGAGGCGAGAAGAGGTCATCAGATGACCTGGAAATGAAGTTACAAACAGCTGTCAGCTGCTATGTGGGTGTTGGGAACTGAACATGGTTTTTCTGGAAGAGCAGCCAATGCTCTTTCAACCCATCTTTCCAACCTAAGAGGTGGCATATTTTAAGAGGATCACTTTGATTTCTCTGTTAAAATAGACTATATGGGATAAGCAAAGAAGATGTTAACTAGGAGAAGAGTATGAGAGACCAGTAAAGAGGTGATAGTAATTTGATCCTGGAGTAGGCCAATTAAAAATGGCTACTGTCTAGAAAATGTTTTGAGATGGAGTTGACATGATCTGCTGATAAATAAGAAACAGGAGAAAAAGAAATTCTCAGAACACTTAGCTTAACTGAAAGAATAGAGATGAATTTACTGAGAAGGAAGAAGGACAAAGAAGCAGCAGGTTTTGGGGGAAGACATCTTTAGCCTTAGAACAGATGACATTACTAAGTGAAGAAAGTAGGTAGAGAGAGTTCAAAAACTAAAAACCTGAGGAAATCTACCTTTTAGGAGTTGAAGAGATAAGGTTGAATCAGGAAAGCGAAATAGGAAGGAGAGATCCTGAGTTCAAAGGAAAGTTAGAGTGTGTATGTTGGAAGCCAACTTCTTTTTCAGTGGCATTATGAAAATCCAGGTTGCTGGAGAGATGGCTCAATGGTTAAAAGCATTTGCTACTATTGCAGAGGATCAGGGTCAATTCCCAGGACCTACTTGCCAGCTCACAACTATCTGTAACTCCACTTCCAGAAAAGCAACATCCTCTTCTGGCCTCTCTGTTGGCAACCACATGCCATGCAAAAATACCACATGCCATGTAAACTCATGCAAAAATAAATAATAAATAAATAAAAGAAAGAAAATTATATGTAAATACAGGAGAAAATATGTATATTTTTATCATTATCAAAGGGCTCTTTCTTAGCCTATGGCATGAAAATTTCAAAGAAGAAAAACACTTATTTTAGCATTACCTTCACAACTTTTATTATTACCTCATAGTTCTTATGTAATTAGGTAGTTCTATATATTAAAGGATATCAAGAAATGTTTAGTATAGTTAAAAGAAAAACAAATGATAATAGTGGTCCTTTATCTGTAGTGCCATTTTCCATAGTTTTAGTTACCTAAGTCAACTGAGGTCCAAAAACATCACATGGAAAATTCCAAAACTAATTCCTAAGTTCTGAATTGTGCTCTGTTTAAATAGCATAATAAAATTGTGTGCCATCTTATGCCATTCCACTTGGGATATGAGTCATTCCTGTGTCCAGCACATTCCACCAGCCACGTTATCTGCTTTTAGTTAACAGATCAGTTGTCATCTCATTTATTAGACTGACTGCCTATCACAATATTGTAGCGACACTGTTCTGGCAGCCCTCAGATAATAGCCTGATGCTGTCTCCATGCTTTTGTCATTCACCTCAGTTCATCACATCACTCAGGTACTGTATCACCACACATCATCACAAGAACAATGGTGAAGACAGTATAAGAAGACAGTTTAAGAGAACATTTGCATAGGTTATAGTACCTACTATAATTGTTTGGTTTTATTATTTTATTATCAATCTCCTACTGTAATTTCAGGCATTCAGCATGGGTTTTGGAAGGTACCTCAGGGCTCTTACAGTAGAAACTCAGTGTAAGAAGTATGCTAGAAGAAGGCAGAGAAAGGGAGCTGATAATTACTAACCCATGTACAACAAGTTACACTTTTGTGTGTATAGTCTGTACGTAAAAACAATCTGGGTCTAAATGCCACTCAAAGCAAGGGCTTACTAAGAAGTACTAAAAGAACCAAGGGAGAACACTTAACTTCCTTTGGGAGTTATGCCACACAGCTCCCCCTGCTGGACAGGGAAGAGGCAAACAGACTACCTAAAAGCAGAGAGTTTCGTAGAATTTCCCCACAGCATTAGTTATGGTGGGATATTAATGGCGCTGATGAGAACAAAAAACAGACCTTTGTAAAGCATGCTCTGTAAAGCATACCAGCAAGGCTGATATGGACCTAGTAGTTTCTCAGGACAATAAGTATTCTGGGATAAAACACTTCTCTCCTGAAAAGAAGCTCCTGGTCTAGAAAGCTTGGGAAATTTGGAATAAGATAACAAAAGTATATTGTGTGTGGCTACTGGCAGGGTGGAAGGTGAGTTGGGCAATATATTATGGCACAGATCTCCTTTATTTCTGGACTACCAACTATCTGAGACTAGTCATTATCGTGTTTCATCCCAACCACCCCAGCAGCTTCCTACTGCTTACTTTCCCCTCTCCCCCCAGCCCCCAAATATTACATTACAGGCCTTTTATACTGCTGGCCCATCCTATTATGCTTGGAATGAAATCTAAGTCATCTCCAGGCCAACAATGCCCGATGTAATGGGTCTTCTGCACACTCCTTCATGCTCGTGTCTACGGGAAGTATCAGCCTCATGGGCTTCCCTTCAGCTCCTCATGTACTCCAAATTTGTCTGAACTTTGAGCTCTAGATACCTCCTTGTCCTCTACCTGGGCTGTTCTCAATGTGTCACTACCTGATGACTTGTTTTTAATTCTCTTCATTCCCACACTTGAGTGCTTACTCCATGAAAACACAGCTCTTTTTTTCTTGTTCATAATCAATACTTCTGGTGCTTAATGTAGAGGGTAGCAAGACTACAATGTGTATGAAGAGAAATGAAACACTTTAAATGCAGCCTTGTGGGGCTGAATTAAAAGTGCCCAAATTAAAAGGGATCTTGTAGGGGGCCCAAGTTCTTTCAGTTCCTAGCACTCACACCAGGCAGCTCACAACCACCTGTGACTCCAGCTCCAGGGAAGCCAGTGCCTCTGGCCTCCTCCAACGTCTTTACAAACATGCAGACACCAGTGTGAACACACACACACAATCAAACACAAATTTTTACAGAATGGTCTTACACATAATAATGAAGTTATCTCTGGAATAAGCAGCTTCAGGTAGTAGAGAAGCAAAGGTTAAGAGCGAGGATAAGAGCGGCTTTCACTCTGTGCTTTTCAGGGAGTTCTGGGCTAAGCTTTAAGAACTGCTAACATCAACCGGCAAATGCATCCTCTCACCTTCTTCATAGACGTCATTATGATACTCTGCTTGTTCACATGTTTCCAGATCTACCGAGTGTTGCCAAAGCCTTCCAGGTAAATCTGCATTTGTGGCGGGATATGTATTCGAAATGGCAAATTCTGAAGCTTTCTCCACTCTCTTCACAGTAACAGAAAAAAAAAAATCCATCAGATAGTAACTTCATTCGTGGCTAGAGAATTCCAACATATTCCAGAAGCTGCTTTTCTCACAACTAGTACTAGTAGTCATTGTCCCACTTTTATTGGAACTCTGGACAATATTTTATTTTGTGTGTAATGTTAAATTAATTGCAGCAGTTAGCCAAGTTCTAACTGCCATTCCCAGTATTTCTAAGAATGCTGTTTGTTTAGGCTCAGGAAAGTTGAAAACAGGATTGACGAGACACACTGGTACACCAGCCTAACAACCTGAGCTTGATGCCTGGGTCCCAAAGGCAGCAGGAGACAGCCAACTCCTGACCACCACACATGTGCCACGGAATGTGTACACCTACACACATACATGCATATCCTCCTGTACACAAGCACACGCCTGCATACACACCACAAATAAATAATATGTTTATTTTTATTAGCATGTATTAATTGTCCAAAATTGTAGAGGAATTTTAATTTAGAACATGGCTTTTCTGGCAAGAGATCATATCCAAGGACCTTCTAAGTCTGTGTGATCCAGCTGGAATATAGACATGCCTTTAATCCAAGAGACAGAGGCAAGCAGATCTGAGTCCAAGGCCAGCCTGGTATAGAGCAAGCTTCAGGTAAAGAAAAGCTTAGGTACAGGAATGGTGGTACATGCCTTTAATTCCAAGCAATAAAGGTAAGGTAAGTTTGTAGAAGGAAACATCCTTCTACAAAGTGATGCCTAATTGAGTGGCAGAAAAGGTAATGAATCAGAGAAAAATGTGGCAGAATAGGATATGCCCAACTCTCAGGAGAAGAGAGAGGAAAGGGAAGCTACTTAATGGCAATGCAGAGAAGGGAGGCAGTTTTACAGGGACAGTGATAGACACAGTGATAAACAGAGAAAGACACAGGTGAAGACAGAACAAGCCAGAGAAGGAAAAGGAGCCAGATTAGAAAAAAATTGTTGGAGCTAGTCTGAGACCAAGCAGAGCAATTCAGAGGCCAAGAGAAAAGTCAGATTGAATAAGTTAGTTGGGAGAACCATTTGTGCCAGAACAACTGAGTTGAACCAGGCAGCCCAGAGCTCAGAAAGAACAAGAAAGGGTGAGCTTATTAAGCAGAAACTCTCAGAGACTAAAAATATTCTAGGCCTAGGTTAGCAGACAGAGGCAGTAAGCCTGGAGACAGCAAACTGAACCAGGCAAATAAAAGTTACTTTTACACAAAATAATAGGTTTCACTACATATATGTGAATGTATACATACTTTGATCACATTCCTCCTATCGCCTCTTTTGTTTCTCTTTGGGTAACTTTGTTTAGGGCATTGGCAATGGAATCCTGAAACCTGAATATTTTATTCTGAACAAACATGTGATATCAGCTTCTATGCCAAGAGAACTTGCAAGGGAACAGGAACCACAGGCTGAATCCTAAAATTACTACAGCTAAAAGGGACCAATATTGTGTGTCAAGCAAGCCACAGGTTTGATAAAATTGAGATAGACAGACATCACTGTAGCTATCTAGACTGTTTAACTTCACAAGAGTTTAATAAAAAACATGACTAAATTCACAAGACTGGAGAAGGGAATGATAGAGTTGAGCACAGCACCTTGGATTTTGGACAGAGTAGGGAACATTTTACTTCATAGGTGAGCCCTTGCAACTGTGTCCCCGCAAACTTGCATTCTCTTACTCTTACTGAGTGTTCACTCCAAACTGGCATTGACAACTGACAATTCATGGTTCCATTCTTTAGGTAAAAACTGGAGTCTTCCTTAACCTAAAATCAGTCTCTTAGTCTCTGTTTGTCTATCTGTCTCCTCTTCCTTCCCTCCCTCCTACCTAGAAAATGTTTTGACTCTAATTCCTCATACATTCATAAGCCACATTGTCTCCATAGCCACCACTTCAGTCTAAGGAATGAGAGTCTCCCCAACAGCTTTTCCGGAACAGCCTTTATACAAGTGATCCCTTCCAAGCGAGAGCCATCATAAAGCACTTAAATGTTTGTTAGAATCAGGACAGATCCTTACAGTGTGCTTCAAGGCCCTGGGCCTATAACCCCTTTGTGCGCTCTCTAACCAGCCCACTGTGTTCAACCACACTGACCACTTTGTTCGTTCATCCTCAAGTACTCCGGTGATGCTGCCACACCAAGGCCTCAGTAATTACCATCCCTCTGTGTGCATACCTCTCCTACCAATACCCACTCTTTTCCTCACCCCCTCTGCTCAAAAGTCACCATCACAGCAGGCCTTCTCTAAAACCACTGTAACCTCATTCTCCTCCCTCATCTGCTCCAACTGTATCTTTTATCAGTTTATTTTAATTTTTTTTTTTTTTTTTTTTAGAGAGACAGGGTTTCTCTGTGTAGCCCTGGCTGTCCTGGACTCGCTTTGTAGACCAGACTGGCTTTTATCAGTTTATAATACACTTTCTCTATTATAGCCTCCAGAGAGAACATTAGCAGAGATTGTTCTCTTCTTCACAAGAGATTCCCTACCAGTCAGATTCTTGCTAGAACTCAGTTAGTGCTCAAGAAATATTTAGTAAAGGAAGAGGCAACAAGGGTTTATTCAAAGATGCTGCACTGCCACGTTGTAGTGTTCCTGATCAACTTTGGAATGACTTTGCCTTTGCCCTTGGTAGAAAGCTTGGTAATAACTTTGCAAACACTTGCTGTAGGATGAGCTATCTAACTCTCATGTTGCCGGTGTTAGGTTTCTGATTGTCAGCAGAGGAGTAAAGTTTTAAAGGTGAAGGATAAATCTGGACATGGGAGTGATATGAAACAGAAAAACAAAATGTGATCACATCAGAGGTGACCGAGTCAGGAGACAACAGGTCACTCTGTAGAGACTGTTTCCCATATTATTTCTCAGAGCCTGAGGGTTGTCTGGTTTTACATTATGGCATGTGTCGTTGAATTCACTGATTATGATTTCGCTGGTATTGGCCTACCCTTTAGGTTCTTAAGTTTTAAGAAAGATGACTTTGCATATACTCTTTATACTTGTATACACACATGTAGACAGGTACAAATACGGCTATCAACTTTAATTCTTAAACTAACACCCATAAAAAAACAAGATGTTGTTGTAGTAATTAATAAATGTGTTGGGCTATGTAATGTTATTATTAGCCCTAAGATTATCATGGCAGTATTATTTAACCTGCAATCACAAATAATAAGACACAATACCTGTTAGATTTATAATTGCCTTATTTACCTTGGGCCAGACAGATATTTCACTTACACTGTCTCAATATCTTCACCATCCATCTCACAGCCCCTACCCAATGCCATCTGCCTTAATTATCCTCATCTGGTCTACCTTCCATCCATACTCTCATGGCACTTCCTTGCATTCTTCATCTGGTCCTTTTAATGCCATTATTGGAATCCTTGGCTTGGCCCACATGGTTTTTTTCTCTACACATCCTCCTTCCTTCCTCTTTTCCTGTCCGTCTGTCTCCTATGGCTCTCTCCAAAGCCCAGGAACCTTAGCCGCACCTTCCTCATTCTGCCCTACCCAGGTATAGGCTGTTGAATGAAGCAATCAGATATAATGACTTATGTAGGTTTACGAAATAAGCATAAGTGTAACCAGATCTTGAGGGCCAGCATTAGAACAACCCCCAACAAGATGTGTTAACTTGATTAAATTCTTTAGACTACAAATACAAGAAATCTGTATGACATGTCATTCCAGTGGAAATTTGTATAGGTTTAAAACTTTTTATTACATGTATTTATTTGTCTATTTTTATTTACATGTATGTATGGATGTCAAAGCTTATTTTTAAGTCAGTCTGTCTTACTTTAGAATTGTTCTTGAATGGCTTACTATGCAGATGGCTAATGGAACTAAAAGGAAACTTGAACTTTCTAAGAATGAAACGTTTGCGTTTATTTCTCCATAATGTTCACAGGCAGGGTCAGTTCTTTTTTTCCACAGTGGATCCCAGGAATCAAACTCAGGTGGTTACGGCTTGGTGGCAAGTGCCTTCACCCCATGAGACATCTCTCCAGCCTTTGTATAGGTTCTGAATAGAAGATGGTAGAGAGTTTGGGAAATACGAGAAAAACTGATCTTGATACTAAGGATCTGCAAATGACAACTGAGTGGGAAAAAAAAAACAAAACCGGTTTCTCAGTCCTAATAGAGCAAGTGTTTAAAATATGCACTAGATGACACTAAGGATTACAAGTGACGCCTGCAGTTGTCTTACAACCAGAATAAACACATGATTGCTAAGAGGGGTCTAGTCTACATCTCAGGAACTTGTGTCCTCTTACCATCTTATTCTTTTAGAAAGTCTGGATGGGAGACTAGCTCTGCTTTAGCAATCCAGTGAACATTATGGGGAAACAAACGCAAACGTTTCATTCTCAGAAAGTTCAAGTTTTTGCTTTTAGTTCCATCAGCCATCTGCATAGTAAGCCATTCAAGAGCAGTTCTAAAGTAAGACAGACTGGTTTTAAAAATAAGCTTATTGTGTGTGAGTGTGTGTGTGTGTGTGTGTGTGTGTGTGTGTGTGCATGTGTGCACACACATGTGCACCTGTGTGTGCAGGACAGAGAACAACCTTGGGTATTGTTTTTCTCTCACTTGCTTGGAGCCACAAATTAGGTTATGCTGGTGGGCCAGAAGGCCCCTGGGGCCCGCCTGTCTCTGCTTCTCTAGCTGTAATTACAAACGCCACCATATCTGGCCTCTTAAATGGGTTCTGGCGCTTAGAAGAGAAAGACTTTAACAACTGAGCCATGTATCTTTCCAGCCCTAGAGAGAAGCTTATTAGTTAGTACCTATGTTCAATGAAAGTCCATTTACAAAATATTCTCCCAGTTATTCCTATAACTTATGCATATTCCTCATATCCCACAGAGCATCACAGATGGCAGAAATAGTGGCTACAACATGACCCTTTACTTCCTTAAGATCAGATGATTAAACAGTTTAATATATCCTCAAATGTGTATGTTTTTATGTTTTTGAAAGTGCCAATTCTTTTAAATATCACTCTTTATAAAATCAAGCATCTGATGTTTTACTAATAAATGTGTGTAGAACAGAACTCTAAAGGGGACTGTTCAAGGATGGGGTTAGTTGTGGAAGTGGGGGTAGGGCAGCTGAAGCTGAGGTGTATGGGAAGGACTGAGATCGTGTCCCAGAGAGGACAGTTATTCCGGGCTGAGGCAAAGCTGAGGGAGCACCTGCTTCATAGAGGGGAAGGAGAAAGACCTGGGAGGAGAGAAAGCATCCACAGTATCAGTGTAAGGGCTGTTTTAGAAAAACTGATACAGGCTGACCGATAGAGGACTTTAGATGCCCCCTGGAAGAGACAGTTTTCTCTGATAGCACACAGAATACATTTAGAAAGCTCAATCAACCAGGAGGATGTAACAGAGTACGATGAGCCAGACAGGATAAAGATGAATTGTAAATCACAAACTACTGCATTTAGTGCTAGCCAAGCACCTGCCTGATTGTGAGTGATTTCTCCATCACTGTGGATGCTCATTAACATCTCAGTGTTAAGGTTTGCAGGACCTTCTGTTTTATCACAGCATTTCCCATAATTCTCCTTTAGCAATCCACTTAACCTGAACCACGTTGTACCGAATGTTTCCTATCTTGAACCAAACCTTGTTAATCACCTCTTCCACTTCATCATCCCATCTCCATGTTTCGTTCCTCTTTTTCTCACAATACTGAAGCTAGACTCAATTAAGTCCTTTGGTCATTGCAAGCCATTCTCTCCTCCATATCTATCAGACCTTGAAAGAGACTATTCCATTACTTCCTACTACTGCCTTATTTCCAAATCCTTCTCCCTTCACTTTTGTAGAGATAATCCCTAAGCTTGGATCGGTTTAATCTACCATTTTTTTTTTTTTGTACCATAACAAATTATGGTTACTTACTTACTTCAGCTAAATCCACAATGCAACTGGCAATCTTCCTTTTCTTTTCTAAAGAGAGGAGTTTCTCCAGCATCCTTCCATTGAACAAATTTGCAGCTGGTTTTTAAAGCGAGGGCTACTCAAGTGAAGTTTTAGGAGAAAAGATTGTAACTATTCAGGGTGTACCCAGAGTTGTGATATATTATGGAGTACAATCAGAAAAAAAGGGCAGAGAGCAGAGAGGTAATAGGAAAGTAAGAAAATACAGTCCAATGGACAAAGATAATGGAAGAGATGGTGTTTAAAACACAGATGCTGAAGCTATCAAATTAAACAGAGAAGTTTGATGACTATCAAAAGATGAAAAATTTGGTTAGGAAATAATTTCTGTGGAACAGAAATGGAAATAGATTTTTTTGTGTGTGTTTGGTACTTGTACTGCTGGTACTTGTACTGACTAAGAAACAGAAACTGAGCAAAAATAATTGTGGATATGAGAGAATAATGAAAGTATAAAAGCTGAGAGTCCACACTATATTTATCTGTAGATATTAGATAAGACAATAAAATCATTCTACAATCAGAAAGGACTGCAGGGTCAAATAAGAACTTATTGATTTTTTTCAAGATGAGAGATTTGAGGGCAGGATGGAGAACGAGCCAGTGCAGAAGATTTAGAGGAATGATAAAAATCTGAGTCCAGCTGGCTGACAGCTGTATGAAGGAAGAAAAATCATCAAAACAAGACAAAATGGAATTTTATCCTGGAGTTTTCATTAAATCTCCCCCTCTAAAAGAGATAGTGAGTAGGTGTGTGACTAAGGCCTGCAGAAACTCAGCACTGGGACTCTGGACACTGACATGCACAAGCGGGATGCCAGAGGCTGTGTGGTCCTCCAGGGTCTGGCATTCATGATGGGATCTAGCTTAGCTGTCTTTTGAGCTGTCTTCGGCAGTGGCCAGGGACTCTGCCCCAGCCCCATCTAGATTAATGCCTCCTACCATAAACTTCCCTTATGTCTTTAATTCTCTTATCAGCTTCAAGTTGGCTATTTATGCTCCACTGTACTATAAACTCTGGCCTGTGTCTCATTTTAGCTCTGCTACCCAACATTTCGAGCTTGTATTTAGTAGGCACTTAACAAATAATAGCAAATTTAGCAAATTGCTAAATATATATATATATATATATATATATATATATATATATATTTATGTATGTATATATATATACATACACAGCTAGCTGGGGTTCTATCTGGCCTGGTGCCTTCAATGCCTGTCAACCTAGATAACATTACTGTCAGATAATATTCTCTCAGGAAAATACTACATAATTTCGAACGATGAGCTACACAAATAAACTGATTACAATGACTTGCTAAGTTGACATCCAGAGGTATGCTCCTGAAGTGTTTTAAAGGCTCATTCAATTCAAATGGCACCCGAATTAAAAAAAAGTTAAAATCTTAGGACTAGAATATATTGTAGATCAGGAAATCATTTACAAGTTTCTGTGGAGGTTTTCTAACCCAACTCCCTCTTAATGGATGCTCGTATTCTTTATTAGTTGAATATTAAGTGAAATTTAGAGTTTGCTCCAATACTGCTGGTGACGGAATACACGCCTCTTTATGAAAATTCTTACTCCTTTTTTGTATTATTTTAGATGTTAAAGAATTCTGGCGATAGCCATATAGCTTCTGCCAGTGGATCCCCTTTTTAAAGTAACTACAAAACAGTGATCCTTGTGTCTGAAGAAGGCTACAACATTATCTCCCAAAGCTTCTCTTTTCTTCCTCCTTCAGCCTCTTCACGTACTACCCATGGAAGATAAAAGGCATGTGTCAACCTGTTTTTCTCATCATTCATACTTAAGTCATGAAAAGCAACAGAATAATGAAAGATGTTCAAAAGTATGAAATTGAGGTGACATACATAAACACATGGGGCCAACAACAGCCATGCATACGCAGATTGGAGATCTACTGTGATGTCTATCACATTTCTTTCTGTTTCTGATTTTGAAATGCCTTACCTTAATCCAGTGCCCAACACTGCCAGGGTCAAATGACGACTGTAGAAAATAGATACAAAACATTAATACATAGCAATAGCTTTATCAACATTACCATTTTAAGCTATCTTTGCAGTAAAACATATGGAAACATATTCTTTATCCTTTCCTCCAAACTTCTCATTGGCAAGTTCAGTACTGACTAGCAATGAAAGCACATTAGGCCGCAGTAGGAGAAACAGGAAGCCTTGTCTGGGACATCCTTATTACTTCCTGCCTACATCTACCTTGAGATTGTAATGTAATTGGTCTGCACTCTAGGCATGTGTGTGTATATATATATATATACATATATATATATGTATATATATATATATTTATATATATATAAAGTTCTCCAGGGCTAAGAGGCTAAGAGTCAAGATATAGAAAAACTACATGTACTTCTCCTCATGAAACCCATACTAACACTGGTTAATTCACCTCTCTCTGTAATTTTCTGCTTAAAGACTGTTATGGTTCTTCCTTTCCTGTTTGCCAGATGCCTTCCTGTCCTTCCTACATCTGAGGTGTTGTCTGTTCCAACAAGAATCTACTGTTGCACCAAGCATAAAATGAAGAAAACAAATTAATCTCTACCCAGATGAGTCAATTATTAATCTGAAATGAGAAATCGAGATAACAAGGAGCCTCCTCTCTATTCTGTGACTCCCAGAAGCTTACAGAGCTCTCTGCAATAATCACTGAGCAAACAGGGACATTTGCTTTGCAAAAATATTCAGCTTGTTTTTTTTTTTTTTTTTTTTTTTTAAATGATGGGACAGCAAGCCAATTAGCTGGCACATGAAAGTTGGTGGGAAAGGTATAATACTCTTCCACTTACCTAACACTTCACCTTCAGCTCACCTTACACACAATTAATGCAGCTGTTCTGGCTGAATAACTTTGTCACTGCAACAAAAAAAGAGCTGATCCTATTCAAACACAGGTGAATTTCAAGGCGCTCTGTGTTTTTACTTTCTTTATCCTCTAGACAGTAATAATGAGCACTATCAGCAAAAAAAAAAAAAAAAAAAAAAAAAATTTTTTTTTTTTTTTTTTGCTTTGTGTAGTTCTACGTTGTGCCAATTTTCTTTTCTCTCTCTTTTTTTTTTTTTTACCCCTCATCATCAAATCTATATTCACATGCTATTTTAGGCCCCATCTATTATGCAACTGATACTTTGTAGTCGGAGCAACCTCAGTTTCCACTCTCTAATGCTCTGGCCTATGCCCTCTAGTATCTGAAGCATGATTTTCACTAAGTGGAATGTGCCCTGTGCATATAGCTGCTATATTTAGAATAACCCACAAGAGTGATGGCCCAAGGCTCCCACCAAAGCCACACATCTAGAGGATTTTTTTTCTTCTTTTTAAAGGAAAGTGCAACTGAGGGGTTAAAACAGCTGGTGAAACTGCTCTGCAGCTTAATGTTGAATCCAGTCCATTTCAGCACTCTCAATTACATGTAAAGCATTTATTCTTGTGACTGTTAAAGAGAATAGTCTTCTGGAAGGCACACTCGGTGTGACTGTGACTTTGCACATCACTTTTGTATGTTCCAAATTTAAAATGGTGTTGATGGGTTTTTTCCCCCCATGCCTTTAGGAGCTAGAAGAGGTAAGAGATAACGGGAGGATCTATCTTTGAATACTGGTGGAATTCAGAAATAACATATGAATTAAGTATTGCGATATAACCACCTGGACTTCTGGGTTCATTTTAGATATCTGATGTAAAATTGGAAGAGGGAGATAGAATTTAAGGTGATGGGGTTTTTTTTTTTTTGTTTGTTTTTTGTTTTTTCCTTTCAAAGATCTCTTAGTTCAGATTTGAACGGGGGGGAGGGAGAAATGTGCGGCAAGTTTCAATTGGAGGCAGAGATAAGGATTAGGGGCAGATTCCCCTCCCCCTGACGGGCACTAGCAGACCTCTCCATAGATGGAAATAATCTTTACAGGATGCAGCCCACTGGAGTAGTAAGTACACAGACTCTAAAGCTCCTCGGACCAAGCCTCTTAGGGATGTGCTGGCTCTGGGACCGTCAAGGCCAGGTAAGCATGCCCCCGGGGGAAGAGTGAGGAAGCACCAGACGGGAAGCAGGTTTTGGGGCTATGGGGCGCCTATGGCCGGCCCATGTTCCTCAAAGCTCCGGATTGGGATCACCTTGGGATTCAGCTTCCTTGAGAACCGTTGCCAGCGACTCGGCTTCATTCTCTTCTTAGAGGCCAACCCTTCCTGGGGCGCTAGCAGCATTTTTTCAGCTGAGGCCTACACTTCGGCAACAACAGGGACAACCGCGCCTCCTCCCAGGCTGCTTTCAAGTGGTGCTGGGAGTTGTAGTTCCGTCAATCACCAACTAGCCAGGGGTCGGGCATTCCGGAACTACTCTTCCCAGGAGGCATTGCGCGGGAAGCTCGTGTTCGCCCAGTTACCATGGCAACGTTGGACTCGCTAGGCTTGCTTTAGCAGGGCCTTTGCGTATGTCTGGCGCTTGGTGATGACGCAGGGCTTCCTGATTGGCTCTGCGGCAAAGGCGATGGTCCAGTGGTCCGTGAGTTGTGCGAACCGAACACGTGTTAGCTTCTGCGTGGAGTTTAAGGGTCCTGAAGGCGCGGAGTGTTAAAACCTACCGGTGAGTGTCCTTTTTCCATGCTGAGGGCGGGTGAGTCGCCCCCATTTTTTGATCGCATTGCAGTCTTGCTCCTACCTCGTCATTTCTTGGTTTCCTGTTGTTCTAGGCTTCTGCCAGCTCAGTCTCCCCAGTGAGATTTCCGGTCACTTACATCTCAGAAAGAAAAGGACCTTCTTTCTCCTAGCCTCTGCCCGAGGGTGAACTGCTCAGCTGGAAGTTTTTTTGAATTTACCAGGTACTTGGGAAGTTATGTATAAGAATAGCAAAGTCTGGGGCTCCAGGGATGGCTAACGGAACTAAGAGAAAATTGAACTTAAAGAGCCAAGCCTGGATGTTGTCGAGAACAGTCCATTGAAGGTGGATGTACTTTCAAGGCAGGGTAGAAATTAAGAAATGGAGTTTTAGATCCAGCTACTTGTTGGCAATTGAGCTTACTTACTGGCAAAATAGCATTTTACCTAAACCCTGGAAGTACTGTAATGATTGAAAGTCAATGTATGTAAAACATTCTGCAAGGAAATGTAAACCAGACTTTAAACTTGTGGAAAGCTGTGCCCCGTAGACCTTGCACTTGCCCTCTAATTTCATTATAAACCAGAAGGAACATGGTTGAACGGGTTGTGTTCCATTCAGACCTTGCACTGTTCTTTTGGAAGAGTTTTCATGGCTATTCTTGGGGAGAGGTGCCTGTTTTTTTCTGAGAAAAGCAGGGTTTAGAGACGGGCATGTAATATAGCATGTGTCCATTTTTGGAGAACAGGTGTATTTAAATGTTTGGGTGAGTATAGAGAAAGGCTATAAAGGCTGAGAAAGTCGGTTAGAGGCAGAGGAGGGAGATGGGAAAAGAACACTAACACTGTAGCAAAATGGGAAATACCACAGTTAATATGAAAACATTACACATGCTATTTGACGAACTTCAGTTTCCCCTAAGCCACCAGTGTGTAGAACTGGTCTCTAGAACTGTTCTTCCGTAATTTCAGTGCCAGTTCTGCCAGGTATCACTGGTGACTGTGTTAGTCACTGTTCTGTTGCTGTGAAGAGACAGCATGACCAAAGCAACCCTTTTAAAAGAAAACATTTAATTGGGGGCTTGCCTACGGTTTCAGAGGTGCGATCCATTGTCATCATAGCAGGAAGCATGTTGGCATGCAGACAGACACCAGAGCAGTAGCTGAGAACTACATCCTAATCTCTAGGCAGAAAGAGATTTGGCATGGGCTTTTGAAATCTCAAAACCTATTCCCAGTGACACTTCCTCCAACAAGTCCACATCCCTTATCCTTCTAATCCGTTCAAATAGTGCTATTCCCTGATGATTAAGCATTCAACTATATGCACCAGTGGGGGCCACTCTTATTCAAACAAGCACAGTGACCTTATTAGCTTCACTTGACTAATTTATAAACAACAGGTGAAAATAGGGTCTATGTTGTGTCTGGTTATATTGTATGTTGGGTTAATGTATAAAGCACAGTAAATACTCAATGAATGTAGCTACTATGCTTGTTGGGCCTATCAGTGGATGAGATTAGTCCACCCTTAGTGTGATTAACAACATTTATACTTACTTGGTCATCATCTGCATTTGTTTTTGAGTCAGGGTCTCATTCTGTATCCCTATCTGGCCTGGAACACACTCTGTAGTCAGGTGGCCTCAAACTTAGAGATTTGCCTGCCTCTCTGCCTCCCGGGTACCGGGATTAAAGATGTGCCAACACTCTCTGCTGGATGTATGTATTTTTTTCTTTTCCTTTTTTTTCTTTCTTTTTTCTAAGATTTATTTTTACTTTCTGCGTGAGTATTTTTGCCTGCGTGTGTATGTATGTATATACATGTATGATATATATATATATATATATATCCCCACCACAAATGTGCATGGTACCCTCAAATGAAAATAGGAAACTCGATCTTCTGGAGACAGAATTACAGACTTTTGTAAACTGCTATGTGGGTGTTAGGGGCCACTCCTGGTTCCTCTGCACAAAAAGCAAGAGTTTTAACCCCTGAGTCAATTCTCTAACCCTGTACTTTCAATTTTTGATGTGCTTTTTTTTTTTTTGTTTTTTAACTTTTATTGGATAATTTAAATGTTCTTTAAACTTCTCTATTCCTTTCTGAAAGGTTTGGATAATGTGTATTCTGTCATTCATTTTCTTGATGGATATTTCCAAACTCTTAACATGTGTACCTAGTAAAGTTTAATATTGTTAGTTTATCTCTCTCCCTCCACCTAATAGGGTAAGAATTTTAATTTAGACTTTTGTAGCATCCATCATTTCTGAGTCAGCTTGGTGAAGCATCATATTGTTCAGAAGTCCTTCATAGTTTGTTTATGTATGTATATAATTGTTGGCTCTGTATGGGGGAGATATGGATGTTTAATATTTGCATATTTGTAGTTTTTCTTTGCCCCCCAAATGTCATCTAAGCTTGCTGCATTCAGTTACCAAATTTGGACATCTTTCCAAGAAGACAATGCATTCAAGAAACATTTAAAAATTCTTTCTCTCCTGGCAGATGAGGGCAGAATGGTATTAGTGGTGTTAGGGCAGGGTGTTGTCAGAAACACAGATTTGCTCATTCCTGGTCAGTTTTCCTTACACCCTAAGGGTTCTTCCTTAAGGCCCCTACATACTTCTTCTATGGAAATGAAATGGAGAAGACAAAACCAGCAATATAAGAGACTTACAATAAGTGAAAGATGGTGGGAGGGACATGGTGATAGAAACAAATAAAACATCTCCATTTGATGTTGTGGAGACGTTTGTCAGCATCTTGAAGTTTGCTTCAGTTAGTGATTATGTCACTCCCAAGTTATCTCTTAGAAACTATGCCCTGTGGTTGCTGGAGGCTGTTGTGTAAGTACAGCTTTCTAGTGGATACAATGGGCCAGAGAAATCCTTTGATTTATGCATGGGAGCTGTTTTTTCTCAGCAGCTGCCATAGCCCGGTCATTGGCACATTATTAAAACAAAAGAAAAAACCCCAAAGCAATAACATCAGCAAACCCAACTATGTACATGAGTGTACATTTATGTCTGTATTGCATACATTAATCATAATAAAGACTTGTACATAAAAAAGTTACAGTTAGAAAAACATATCTAACATCGAATAATGATTGAGAAAAGGAAGTATTAATTCTTCTAGTTCTGGGAAAAAAAATGTTTTGTTTTTTGAGTGTTGATTTCCAGCTAAGATGCATTTTCCAGAGCCAGTAAGATGGCTCAGTGGGTAAAGGCACTTGCCACAAACACCTTGTGACCTGATTTTGATTCTTGTGGCCTTCCATTGTAGAAGGAAGAACTGAGTCCTAAAAACTGTCCTCTAATCTCCACACTGAACTTATCATACATTTGGATGTACTTGTGTACACACACACATAAATTAGTGTAGTGAATACATTTTAAATGTATTTTCTAGTACTGTCCATTTTTCTTTTTTATTTCTTGAGACAGGCTTTTACTATGGAACCCAGGTTAGCCATGAAGTCAATATCCTCCTGCAACTAGGCTGCGCCTGGGACTGCCTGCCTGGGACTGCCTGGCATTCACCATCACAACTGGTTTGTCCTTAGATTTCTCAGTATTCACTGTATCTTCACAGAATAGAATTACTGACAATACGCAGGTCCCTCTTTGAAACCATTTTCCATTTTTTATAAGCTTGCCCTTCGATAATTTGAAATTACCATAGTTTGGTGAAACTCAAGAAGCCCTAAACAGCAGAATGTAGGTATACAGCATCAAGACTGTATAAGTCAAGCACCTCTCTCCAGCTCACGAAGGATTCAGTTTTCTAAGCGGAGGGTTTGAATTTGACCTTTAAAATTCTGGGAATTAACCAACCCAACTAAAGAACTGTATCACACAGAAGCCAAGCTCTGCATTTAAGAACTGGGGGCTAATGTCTTCAAAGGGCTAGCATTTGTAACTGAATATCTGATCCATAAGGGTTTTCCCAAATGCAGGTGGGGAACCATTTAAAAATTTGGCAACAGTAGAAGGGTTCTAAGTATTTAGCAGCCGTTTATGAATTAAAAACAAATAACCCAAAGTGTGTCTGGCAGCACTCATCCTGTGTAGCATTGTGGAACTTCACTGCAGCCTTGGTTTTGAATGAGTAGCTATACTTTGTCTGCCCTCATACCACATGATTCCAACAAACACTGTCCCAAACACTAGCTCAGATTCAGTACTGTCGTGTCTTGTGAATTGTCGTGTTTTACTCCACATACAAAGCTTTCTGCCCGTACAAAGCATTGACGATTATAAAATCAAAATATTAATTAACTCTGAAAAATATTCAAGGTATATTTCCTTAATTTCAAGTATTAAGCCAATGTTTAATTCTTCATGTAAAAATGAACAAGCACATTCTTTTTATTAGTATGCAAATTTGCTTTAATCACTTTGCATTTGTGTGTGCACATGCCTGTGGAGGCCTGAGGCTGATGTCAGAAACCTAGAGCTTACCAGTATCGCTGGTTTCTTCAGCCAGCTAGCTTAGAGGGTGCCCACTCTCTGCCTCCTGAGGCCGGGATTACAGGCAGGCTGTCATGCCCACCTGGCATTCACATGGGTTCTGGGGATCCAAACTCCTGTCCTCCCACTCAACACAAGTGCTTAACCATCGAGCTAGCTCCTCAGTCCCTTCATATTTAATAAAAAGTAAAATCATGTGTGTACCAGAGATGTGTCTTAAATTTTCTTTGATTTGTTAGTAATTTTTATGTTTATTTTATGTTACATAGGTTTAATGACAATTTCTTTGGCAGAAGAGGGTTGTGACTAGAAAATGTGTAAGCAGCTGTACTCCATTGTCACCAAGAGCTTCCCAGCAACGTGGCTCTGGTTAAGAGTAGAAGAAGCTGTGTTTTCAGTCACAGGTAGATGGAGAAGGGTAACAGGGAGGATGCAGTCAGGATTGAGCCAGTTATGCCCCAGGCTCTCCTGTTACATGAGAGACCTTAGGCCATCTCTGTTCTTCCCTCAGGGGAGAATGACCAGGACCTTCCCCAAGGGAAGAGTGAGTCTTAGAAGCCAAGAGTCTGGGCTTCCAGGTTTAAATGCTTCTACATTTTTTTTTTGTATGGTGCCAGGTCAGTTTTTGAACAGTGCTTGGAGAATGAGTTTCTTTATATTGAGAGGACTTGTGACAGTTGCCTTTATGAATATAATTGTTACTTAAGCTAATTCTCTTTGCCCCTGGTTTTTATTAAGCTTCCTGAATGGGTCTTCTGTAGGGTATTCAGGTACTTACTGACCCATTTTCTTTTCTCCCTTTTTTTTTCTTTTTAAATTTTTTTTTAATTTTATTTTTTTCTTATCAGTTACATTTTATTAACTCTGTATCCCAGCCGTGTCCCGATCCCTCATTCCCTCCCAGTCCCTCCCTACCTCCCTCATCTCCACCGTGCCCCTTGCCAAGTCCACTAATAGGGGGGACCTCCTCCCCATTCATCTGATCCTGTTTTATCAGGTATCTTCAGGACTGGCTGCAAAGCTCTCCTCTGTGGCCTAACAGGACTGCTCCTCCCTTGGGGGGTGGGGAGGCCAAAGAGCCAGTCATTGAGTTCCTGTTAGAAATAGTCCTTATTCCCCTCACTATGGGAAACCAATTGGTTACTGAGCTACCACAGGCTACATCAGAGTAGAGGTTCTAGGTTACATTCATACATGGTCCTTGGTTGCATGTCAGTCTCAGAAAAGACCCTGTGCCCAGATATATTTGGTCCTTGTGGAACTCCTATCCTTTCCTCATCAGACTAACTCCCCTTCTTTCTTCTGACCCATTTTCTTAATCTGATTTTGTTATTTAGTCTCCAATTTTAAAAATCGCTCTTGGAGTTGTTGACTTGAGTTTCATTAAAAAAAATTCTAAGTTTTACATTAGATTAAGTTTTGCTTTGCATTTTGGCTTTGGGTTAGAACACAATTTCCAGCCATTTTTGCAGTGGTGCTATGTATAGCTCTGTCATTTTATTCCATATATTTGTGCAAAATGGCCTCCTTTAATTTCTGTAATTTCTACATCTGAGTAAAAAAACCTGTGACACTTTTATGTTTTCTCTGTCCATTCTTAAGCTTTACTTTTTACGTATTCTGATACTCCTCTGTGAAGGCTCTTATTACCTTTCTGAATTTAATTTAGAAACACAATTCATGTGTACATTTAAGCTCTTTACATACCTTAAACAACTCAAGACATTTTCTGACGGGGAAGAACAGCAAATTCTGGTTTCTAGAGCCTTCTGAAGTAGCTCCATATTTTTCTTTCCTCAGATGTTTACTGCTCTTAACTTTGCTATAGCATGGCTTCAAAGTGCTGCTGGTTTACAATAGTTTATAAAATAAGTTCTAGCCGATTAATATATGAATATGATTCTGGTGTAAATTTTTCGAGGTTATACTCTTAGCCTGTAATTATGTTTTTATAATGTTGCAGAACAAATTTTCATTCTCCAATAGTTTAAATAACTATCAACAAAGTTTTTGCTTTTTAGAAAGTAGCTTTTATACTATTTACTGTTAAAACTGTTTCTCCTTAACTGTTATTGTTTATTTTATTTTATTTGTTTGGTTTTTCAAGGCAGGGTTTCTCTGTGTAGCCCTGGCTGTCCTGGACTTGTAGACCAGGCTGACCTTGAACTCACAGAGATCGGCCTACCTCTGCTAGGTGTGTGCCACCGCACCCCTCCCAGTTATTTGTAATAGCATTAATTTTTTGAGATGACTAATGCAAATGTTTACTGATAATAGGAGAAACTAAATGGAGTTGAAACAACTGAGAATAAATTTGAGATTGAGTTTAGAAAACTTAGAAAGTATTTATACCCTTCCCTTTTAAAGTAATACTTTAAGTCTTTGAGAATTTCATACAACATATCTTGATCAGATTCACAGCCCTCCCCCTTCCAGGTCTACCCCTCCCTCCTTGTCTATGTTTTCCCAGGCTTAGTTTTTAAGTAGGCTCTTTCAGTGAATATGGGACTCCTATTTGTCTATTTGGCTGGCAGACCAGTGAGCTCCAAGTGTCTAACAGACCCCCTTGTCCACCCTATCCCCCCCCCACTTCCATACCCATGTTGGGTTACAGATGCTTGCTGACATGCCTGGCTTTTACATGGGTCCTGGTGAGTGAACTCAGGTCTTCATGATTATGGCAAGCGCTTGGCCCATGAGCTATCTTTCCAAACCCTAATAGCAGTAGTTGTATTTCTTCATTTGTGTCAACCTGAAATGATGTTATAGTTAAAGGAAAATGACTTTTTCACAAACGTTGTTCTTGGTTTTATAATTTATTATTTATATAAATTTATAGAAGGTAATTATTCTGATGGTTAATATTCTTATGACTGTAATAACTGTCTTATTTAAATATACTTTCTGTGGTTCCAAATTCTGTTTTTACGTAGTGTGAATGATTGTTTATTTGCTCATCTTTTTGTGTATGTGGAGGGTGGTGCACGTCTCTGTGCATGCTAATGGAGGTCAGGGAACAACATCTAATGTCATTCTTTAGGCCTGGACCACCTTTTTTTGAGAAAGGGTTTTCGTTGATTGGGGCCAGCAGATTAGGCCAGGCTGCCCAGCCACCTAGCCCCCAGGGATCCATTCGTCTCCAACTCCTCAGACCTAGGGTTACAGGCATGTACCCCACCCAATGGCCTACCTTCTTAAAAATGTGGATTCTGGTGATTCAACTCAGGTCCTTTTACCTATTGAGGTATCTGTCCAACTCTGTTGATTTTGTCTTAAACAATGATTAACTTTGAAAGTAAAGCTTCAGAAGATTGGCTTTGCAGTTACAGTTTATCACATAACTGTAATAAATCGTTTACTAATTAAACTTGGGGGCGTGCTGTGGGGATGATTCAGTCTGTAAAGTGCTGGCTGGGCAAGTGTGAGAACCTGAGTTTGGGTCCCCAGCACCCATATAAATGCCTGGCGTGGCTGTTATGCGCCTGTCACGCACCACTAGGATGCTGAGACAGCTGGATCCTGGGGAGCCAAGCGACTTGCTGGCCTCCACCATCATGCATTTATGAGAGTGAGCACTCGTACAGACACATGCATACAAAACTGTGGCCTGGTCCTGTTGTCAAGAATTCCCCAGGATCCTTGATATAGTCGTGTAATAGCAGTGTTTATAAAATGTTGGTATGTCCAGTGACACTTGAACTTTAAAAAGTGTATTTGTATGATGTGTGTATGTATAAGGACCATAGCACATATATGTGGAGGCTGAAGGACAACTTGGCAGAGTCAGGTCTGTTCTTCCGCCTTTGTGAGGGGATCAGACTCAAGCTGGCAAACTTGGCAGCACATTTACCCATTGAGCCGTCTCACTAACCCTCTGTTGACATTTTATAAATGATCAGCCACACTGTTTATCAAACTCTGTAGTGCATTTTAAAAGCTCAGAATTTTTCACACTAAGTACTAATTATTTAACAACATTCTACAAATAATGTTTTCTGGTGTTCCCCCCCCCCCAACACTCCTGGTGTATTTATAGAAGTTAGAATATCTGCTGTATTTTTTCTTTTAAAAAAATTATTGTTCCCATTATGAAATTACCCAAAGATCATTTATATGCTCCTGTAGTTTCTCATCTCTATGTGAATAAATTAGAATATAAACCCACTTTGCAGATAATCTTTTATGTTATGCTGTGTAGTCTTTGTATATATCCATTGTAGCGTTTTGGATTTTTTTTTAAAAGAATTGAACAACACTATTAGAAAAACAAAACAATATTGCTTAGTGTTCTCTCAAGTTGGAGAAAGAAATGCGTTTAAATTAGCAGCGTGTGCTCTAAGTGGCATGACATTCCCTCTGCATGTTTTCAAACCTGAGTGACCTCATGTGCCATTCTTTCACAGTGAAACCTTCTAATTTCAGTTCTTTCATTTGCTTTGTTTTCGTCAGCTTCACAAAAGCATGTACGTGTGTGCATGTGCAAACACACACACAGACATTTCAAAGCGATTGGTGTTAGCATTTTGCTCTGGAACTTTGGGGAAGGAATCTTGGTCTCTGTTTTTTCCCCCTGTCCCAGTCCTAATACCGAAGACAAGTATGAACTGAGGTAATAGACAAGCAGCTATTCATCTTGGTGTACATTGCTTTCTTTGCCTTTAGATGTCATGACTTGCCTTCTAAATTTAATGCTGTTTTCTTCTTAGAACCTAGAAGAATCCCTAACGATGAAGCTGAGTCTCATCAAAGTCGTTAATGGCTGTCGTCTAGGAAAAATTCAAAACCTGGGCAAAGCCGGGGACTGCACAGTGGACATTCCAGGCTGTCTCCTATACACCAGGACTGGCTCTGCCCCACACCTGACTCATCAAACACTGCATAATATCCACGGGGTCCCAGCCATGGCCCAGCTCACACTGTCATCCCTGTGAGTGCTGACCCTAATCTTTCAGGTATCCAGCCCTTAGATGCAGCAGAGGAAAGTTTCTTTTCTTTTTTTCTCATGCATAAATTAGTAGAGTTTTAAAACGAAACCAGAAGAGAAGTATTAGATATTATATAACAGTTGGTCCTCACCTGGAGCCACAGGCCAGACCTGTATGTTACCAGTGCTTTACTTTTTCTTCCAACTTTCAGGCCCATTCTGTTGCGCCCTGCATGTAAGAGTACCACATGAAGTTCAGAGGTCCTTCTGCCCTCTGCACCCATAGTTACTGGTACAGCTTTATGCAAACAAGATGAATAGAGTCAAATAATTTTGTTAAGCACAAATTAACTTGATATTTAATTCAAGATTTTGTTGTATTATCAAGTAACTGAGTTATTGTGTTAGTAGTGATTTTTAAAGGGGTGGAAAAAAGGGAAGAAAATCCCAGTGCTCTGAAGCAGTTGTTTTTGCATTGGTTTTTATTCTCATATACCGCTGGCAAGTTGTGTACCTTCATTTTAACTAATGAGCCCAGCCCTGCTGCCTGGACAGCTTGAATAGTGGTGTGCTTTGCTGTTGAGGATGGCCTTCACCATAATGTGGCTAATTTGGAGAAGAGGGTTTGGGGTGTTGTCAGAGTAGCTAGAGAACCATTCCTTGCTGTGTTGTGCAATTTCCTGGTTTTCTTACAGAGCAGAGCATCATGAAGCCTTGGCAGAGTATAAGAAAGGAGTTGGAAGCTTTATAGGTAAAGACTATTTAGATTACATGTGTGTGTGATTTGTGGTGTGTTAATTTGGAGTTTGGAGGCCCTGCTGAATTCTCTCATTTCTTTCTGGTTTTCCTTTTTTTTTTTTGCTTTTAGAGACAGGGTTTCTCTGTGTAATCCTGGCTGTCCTGGAACTCGTTCTGCAGACTAGGCTAGCCTCAAACTCACAGAAATCCACCTCCCTCTGCCTCCTGACTGCTGGGATTAATATTAAAGGCATGTGCCACCACCGGCTGGTGGCGACCACCACTGCCGCTGCTGCTGCTGCTCCTGCTGCTGCTTCTGCTTCCTCCTCCTCCTCCTCTTTTCCTCCTCCTCCTCTTCTAATAATCTTTGGGGCATCTAAATGAAACATTGAAGATTGAAGGTTCATTGGGAAGCACATGATTCTAGGTGCTTTTCAGGGTCAAGGTTACATACATATATCATGACAGAATATACATATTATCATGACAGACCACAGGGGCAATATATCCTGTGAAAGGTGGTCAGACTAAAGAAAGAATTATTGAGGAAAAGGATGATGAGTGGTTATCGTGGCTGGATTAGGGGAGAACAGGTGTCAGGCAGGTGAGGGTGAAAGCAGCGGTGATGGTAAACAGGTGTAGTAGGGCCAACACTCCACACTGATTTAATAACCAGAGCGGAAGCCATAGGACTCTGCAGAGCTGTCTCCTCATGCATGAGCCTCATTCATAAAGAAGAGGGTGAAGAGTTCATATGCAGTTGTGTTCTGATGTCACTGTTGTCTTTTGTTCTGGAAGCAGGATTATGCACAAAAACATGTGCCCATTTAGTCGGAGGAAAACCTTAGTGGTAGCAGCTACAAAACCAGGTCTTCTGTGGACCACACTCTCCTTGATTTCCCCCAATATGTAGGCCTGCTTAGGTAAATAAATGGCTGCTGTGTCCTTGGTCATCTGTTCTTCCTTTTTAGAAGGAAGCTGCATGCTGCCTGACAGGTTCAGAAGAGGAGACTACATAAACAGTCTCCATAAATTGAGAACAATTTTAATCACTAGCTTTAAAGTCTACAAGCTTTTCACTAAGTGCTCATGGCCAGTGTGCACTCTGTAGAGATAATTGTAATAACTGAAACTTAGCAAATAAAGTAGAACACTTCAGAAGTTTAAAATGTTTTAAATTTGTTTTGCCCTCTTTTGAAAAAGTGAATTGTGGAAAATGTGGGGTTCCATATGAAATTTAAGTATATATATGATTATCTAATTGTTTTCAATTTTTTTTTATGTGTCTGAATGTTTTGTCTGTCTGTCTGTATGTTTACCATGTGCACACCTGTCAGAAGGGAGTGTTAGACCCCCCTCCTGGAACCTGAACTACAGATGGCTGTGAGCCACCAAGCTGGTATGGAACCCAGATACTCTGCAAAGAGCAACAAGGGCTCTTAGCTGTTGAGCCATCTCTCCAGCCCTTGGCTTACTAATCATCTTAAAAGAGGTTTTTTTTGTTTTTGTTTTTGTTTTTTTTGTTTTTAAATAATTTTCCTTTTGACTTAAGCATCCACAAATCTAGTCATCTTGGGTCCATTAAACATACCGAAAGTGAGACTCAAATTAGATCCATTCACAGTATCCTACAACTTTCCTGTAACCCTAGGGACCTGTGATTATTGTTAACAAAATCAGTTTTTGACTCCATCTTCTGTCTCTCTAGTAGGTAGTGCTTTTTGGATATCTCCTAGAGTGAGCATACTTGATAGTAATTTCTGAGCCACAGTGGTGAGGAAGAGGTGGGAGCTTTAGAGTTCAAGACCAGTCTGGGCTACAGAGTGAATTTGAGACTCAAGAAAACCAAAACCAACCAAACCTAAAACAAAACAAAACTTAGGTATTAAAAGCCTTCAAATCAAATTCAAAGTGATCAGTATGTCACTGAAATGTATCATTAAACATAATTTTAAAGTCCCACAGTTTAAAATTTTTTTCAACACTTTAAAAATCTAAGTTCTCTTTAAAAATTCAGTGTCGCCTTAAAAGTCCAAAGTCTCTGAACTATGGGCTTAGTTTATAAGAAATGAATTACATACTTCCTTACTCCAATAAGGAAGAACCAGGGCACAACCAATCAGATCAAAGCAAGACCAGAATTTCAGAGTGTGAAAAGCTCAGCGCTTGACATCTGGGATTTGGCAGCGGCACTTCTCCAGCTCTGTAATCCAGCTTACCTAGTAGGTGCAGACCAGCTCTATTGAAGAGTTGCTGCTGTCCTTGGTGGCTATCTCTTGGCCCTGGCATCTCCAGTATGCTGGATTCTCCATAAGCTACACCTTTACCAGTGGCCTGGCTGGCCTCTCTTCAGGCACTCCAACTCTGTCACATGGTACCAGGCCCCAGCTTCTCTCTATGACTCCTTCAGTCCTGGGCTTTCTGCTACAGATGAGGCTGTACCTTCACCAGTGGCCTCTCCTTGTGATCCCTCATAGTGACAAGCTTCAGCTGCTTTTCATGACCTCTTTATGCCTTCAAAACCAGTACCATGTGGGAGATTCTTACAAAGTTCAGCTGCCAGCATGAACCAGCCTTGGCCCTCTCTAGATCACTGCTTCTGTGTGCTGACCCTGAGGAAATATGCCCACTTCATTGTTATCTTGTCTTACTGCTGAGTTTTCAGTTCCTGCTATCCAGCATAGATAGTCCCAGAAAAGCAGAGGTTTCATTTTAGTGCGGTGGTTCTCAACCTTCCTAATGCTGCAGCCTTTTAATACAGTTCTTCGTGCTGTGTGGTGACCCCCCACCATAAAATTATTTCATTGCTACTTCATAACTGTAATTTTGCTACTGTTATGAATCACAATGTAAATATCTAATAAGTGCAAGGGTCCTTTGACCCCTCCCCCCAAAGGGCTCGCTACCCACAAGTTTAGAACCACTGCTTTAGTGGGTTTGGTGTCTTATTAATCACGACTTACTCTAGAGATTCAGCTGACGAGAACCACAGGTTCTCAATTCAAAATGTTAGAAGAACGGCCCTGATAGTGGCTTTGAGGGACCCTGGAACTTCTAAGCCAGACCTCCACTGTCTACATCTGTCCCAGCCTTATCTTCCAAGGTCTCACAACAGTTCATTAAGCTCCAAGCTTTCCAGCCCAAAGTTCCAAAGTTTTCATGATGCTTTCCCAAACAACATGGTCGTGTCTGTCACAACAGTCTTCCCTGATTCTGATACCAATTTCTGTCTTACTTAGGATTTCTACTGTAATAAAGACACTATGACCAAACCAACTCGGGCTGGAAAGTACTTATTTAAAGGGTCACATATCCTGACAAAAAGTGAAGCAGAGGCCACAGAGGAATGCTGCTTACTTACTTGCACCTCATGACCAGCTCAGACTGCTTTTGTATAGAACCCACGACCACCTGCCCAGGAATGGCACTGCCATGGTGAGCTGGGCCCACCAATATCAATCATTAATCAAGAAAACGCCACACAGATTTGTCTATGGGCCAATCTCATGGAAGCAATTTCCCATTGAATTTCCTCTTCTCAGATACGTCTAGGTTTGTGTCATGGCAGCACAACATGAGCCTTTAGACTTAATTCCTTTAGGTTGGAAGGTCTCAAATCATTCTCTTCTTTTTCACAGGCCCTCTATAAATCCAAGATCAGCAAACCGTTTGCCGAGATAAGAATTGCTTTATCTACCAGCACAAGCTGGGAAGCTTTTCCCATAGCACTTGGAACAGTTCTTTTTGTGTCTATACAGGCATGCCAGAATCACTCTTCTATTGTTCCCTGCACGATCCAGTCAGCCCCGGCCCAGCTGGTTATGTAACAAATAAGGTGTGTTCTCAGGAGGACCCTCAAGACTGCAGTCTTGTCCTGGGAAGTCCAGTTATGGTGGCCCTCAAATGCACGTCCCTGCGGCTGGGTTGATTCCTTGATGCCCTCTTGTTAAGTTGATTTTAACAGAATGTAGTGATTCACGATTGAGGAGGGCTGCTTGAATGAAGTTTGGGAATAGACCCTCAGCATTTTTATGTTGTTGGAACAGTTTAGAGGGTGGAGGAAAGTCAGGTACCTGCCAAATAGGAAATCCTGGGAGGAGAGTAAGTAGTCTTTGGATACAACACTTTGTGTGTAGTGTTGGCACTGGGAGGAGTGGGAGAGTGCCTGGACCTATGTATCATGGAGCTTCAGTCAGTTCTGCTGCTGGTAGATCAGAGTTTTCAAAGAGACTGAATCTCTAGCCAGAGGCTGTAGCGAATGGTATTGGTAGACCCACTGAGTTTAACCTGAGTGGCAGCTCTGTCGGCACAATCCCTTAGGACAGCATGGGCAGGGCTCAGTGGGCACCACTGCCTTACGAGAGCAGTTACTTCCTGCACACAGTGTCTGTTAATTTCACTTATGAATACCGTTTGGTTCGTTAGTTTGTTTCTGACACAGGGTTTCTCAGTGTAGCCCTGGCTGTCCTGGAACTTACTCTGTAGACCAGGCTGGCCTTGAACTCACAAAGATCCATTCACACCTCTGCCTCCCAAGTGCTGGGATTAAAGGCGTGTATCACCACAGCCCAGGATGAACACTGTTTTCAATTGTTCTTCTGACTTATGATTTTTATTTTTAATTTGAACTTTTAAAAATAGTCTGTTTTACTATTCATATAAATGCAAATCATTGTAAGAACTTAGCAGTGAACTCTGTCCGGGGAATCTGAGCTGAGCATGTTAAAGAAGGTAATATTTCAACTCAGTTTCTTCAAGGATGCATAGTATTTAGCCAGGCAAGGAAGTAGAAGGGAGGTATTTCAGTTAAAATGTAGATGGTAGTGGGAGTTTAAAAGGACTCAAGATTGTCTAGTTTCCATAGGCTTGAATTGGGATGGAGGTGATCTGAGTGATACAACAGAGAGGTGGAATAACTCTAGGAGTTGAACTGGATGACCACGGAAGGTTATTTTCTGGGTTATAAGGTCCCAAAATCTGGAATATAGAGAATCTCTTTTATTCAACATGTTTAGGTTATTGGATTGACAGATCTCTCCACTTGTTAGGAATTAGCACACACCGTTGTATTATTTACTTTTAATTTTCATGTTACTCTTGTTAATTCCTCATCTCTTGCTCCACGGCAGTCTGTGTCTGTGTGGGGTTTTGGAGGTCGAGTGGAAATGACTGTTTCCAAGTTCATGGCAATTCAGGAGGCCCTGCAGCCCGACTGGTTCCAGTGCCTCTCGGATGGGGAGGCATCTTGTGCAGAAGCAACTTCCATAAAAAGGGCCAGGAAGTCTGTGGACCGGTCCCTTCTGTTCCTGGACAGCTGCTTGAGACTACAGGAAGAGTCTGAGGTGAGGCTGCCTGCTAGCTGCTGTGGAGATGCTCACCTCCCTTCTGCTTCAAGGTGCACCTTGGCTGTTCACCACCTACTTCTGTTCTTGCTTGTTTGCTTCACTTGTTCCTATTTCTCTTTTCTGAACCCCAGGAAGTTTTCTTCTCCAGGATTCCATCTTAGGCTCTTTTCACTGTGCCCTGTCTGTCGTCCCCATGCTGCCTTCCTTCCCTTAGTTTTAAGTACTTGTGAATCCTTCGGAAAATGTATATACTATCAGTTTCCTTTTACTTCCCTGGAGAATTGTGACTGTATAATTACTGGGCTATAGCTAAGTTGTGGCTGTAGAATGTCCTTCAAGCTCTGGAGGTCTTACCTCCTCAAGCCTGCTCTTCCCCAATACTTTACCTCAGCGTATGGCATTCACCAGATTCCAGTGCCCAGGAATCTAAGCTTCCTAAGGGATCATCCACCTTTACTGTCCAGTCTGTACTCATCCTTGACTCTACCGCTTAAAACATGCCTCAAATCTCCTTCCTTCTCACACTTCCTGTTGTATCCAGTCTCTCATGGAGGTGGTTACCTCTGAGCAGTTTTAGCTACCTTCATCCATTCTCATTTTTATCTAACAGGTCTTCAATTCTGCTTTCTAATCGATCACCGGAAAGCACAGATGTGAGCCCACCACCTGCTTTCCTGGAGAATTCAGTGATTTCACTTCAGCTCTCTCATGTACCTGGCATACCCCTGCTCATCATGGACTGCCTTCTCCTATGACCGAAGTCAGGCCTTGAGTGGTTTTGCAGTTCCTTGAGGCACGCATTTGTTTCGTTGTGGGCCACCTATACCCACATATTTTTCTTTTCTTATCTCCAGGCGTATTCCCTCTCTTGCTTCCATAAAGTTCATTTGATTCACTCATCTGTTTATGAAACTGCCTGTGACACTTCCAGAAGTCCCAATCATCCTTCGATAACTCTTTAATTTATATGTGCTGTGCTGTAGCCCCAGCCATACTGTACTGTATTGATTTTTCTTATGTATCTGCTTTTACTAAGCTGTGGTCTTCATTTTTTGTGTGTCATTATATCTTTAGCAGAATGTCTGACGTATAGCAGTAGGGAAGTGTTATGATGAGGTGATGAAGATTAAGCTGTGTCAGTAAATTGGAACACTTGAGAACAGAGTTAATATGCTACTGAAGGATGCAATACTTAGTAGAAAGCAGATGAAGCAAGGAAGCAAAGGCACAGTGTCAGACTTGATGGCTCATTCCTATAATGCCAGCACTCAGCACATGGATACTGAGGCAGAAGGATCATAAATTCAAGGCCAGTTTAGGTGATCTAGAGAGATTTTGTTTGAAAAAAAAAATTAATGGTAATCAGTAGGGCCAAATTTGGACTTTAGCAGTAAAATTAATTTGGCTAGTAAGCTTAATTAGGGAGAACGTCACTGCTGTCCTGAATAGAACTTAATTTGTAGAGGAGTCCAGTGTGGTGATTTTGCTAAGGATCTGGTATTGGCTTATTAACCAGGTTTTGCAATATTTGTTAGAGAGAAACAGGACAAAGGAATTTGAGAAAGATGATTAGAAAGCCAAGTGTTCTTGACTATAAGCTCTCTAGTCCCTTATCTGAGTCCTTGCAGTCAGCCTTATTTGTTGCTGTGCATTTTAGTCAGATGTGGGGCTTATGTCTCTATCCCTAATGCTTATAGTATTGTCTTGATATTATTGATAGTGCCTCCTTTCTTAAGTGTTTCACTTTACATAGTACAGTACACAACAAAACTTCTTACAGCCGTGAGCAGGACTTTCCTTCATAAGGCTATGACAGTCGTGTGAAGGAGCAGGCCTATGCAGATCGACTTTGTGCATCTGTATACATCTTTTTCTATGATTCCTTTCACTTACTTACTGGATCTTGTTCTGTTGTTGGTTTTTGTTGTTGTTGTTGTTATTTTTATTTGTTGTTTTGTTTTTGAGACAAGGTTTCTCTGTGTAGCCCTGTCTGCCCTTGAAGCTCTATAGACTAGACTGGCCTCTAACTCGGAGATCTGCCTGCCTCTGCCCGCAAGTGCTGGGATTAAAGTCTTGCCCAGCTCTGGTTGAGGATCCTAAGTGGTTTCACCTGGGGTGGTTGGAACTGTGCCAGGGCTACAGGAAGTGTTATCTGTTAGCCATATCTGCTGTGGAAGCAGGAGAGGGAAGTGGTGGCATCCTGCCTAACATCTGCTGGCACAGTCTAGGCACTCTGATTTATATCGCTTATATCAATAGCTTGCTTTGTATGGTTAATGGTTAAAAGTTGCCATTCACGTGCCCCAGTGATACTCAATTTTAGAATACACAGAACAGAGTAATCATCACATCCTTCACTGTTTTGTTTCCTGTCCTTGCTTTGGTCACCATCTCCTCGAACTTGTAAAACAGTAAGCAGCACTCATTGTACAATTCTCAGGCAAATTGTGTTGATTGTACCCCTTGACCTGTTGTCAAATGCTGTCTTTCCTCTTTATCACACCACTACCTTAGTCCAGGTCCTGTCATCCTTCACCAAGATTAGGAAAGCTGTCTAATCCCGATCCTTAACCATCATTACCCCTAAATTACTCTACAGTAAACAAGTAGTCTGGATGACCTTCTGTTTAAGTTACAGAGCCCTCCCACAGCACTTCAGATTCCTTCCCCGCAGAGCCACTTCTGGTTTATCTCCTGAACAGCTTATCTTTACAGTCTCTTGTGTATATTTAGTACATAGATAGGCATATCTGCAATACATTAATGTAATCATATGTTCAGCAGTTTGCATGTTTTCTACTAACAGTGTCCTAAATGTTCGCTATCAATGCATGGGTTATTATTTCTCCTTTATTCTTTTAAAAACAGCTGCTGAGAAAGCTGTACTGTTTTTACTTTAATCTCTCAATTAAGTTTTTCATTATTCTATACATCTTGATACGTACATTCTATATACATTGTGATACATTTATCTTGATACATTCTATATACCTTGATACATAATGAATCAATATATTTATAAGAGAGATTGTTAGAATTTTATGACTCAAAGATAAAAGCATTAACATTTTTATGAACATTGCCTTCTTGCCCCCATTTTAGTTACTTCTCTGTTGCTGTGGTAAAACATGACCAAGACACCTTAAGAAAGAAAGCATTTAATTGAGCTCACTGTTTGAGAGGGTTAGAGTCCATGACGGCATGGTGGCATGAACAGCTGAGAGCTCATATCTTGGTGTGCAAACAGAGGACAGTGAGAACACACTGGGGATGGTATGGGCTTTTGAAACTTTAAACTCACTCACAGTGACGCTTTTTCCAACAAGTCCACGCTTCCCAATCCTCAAACAGTCACCAAGTGTGAACCAAGTATTTAAATACCTGAGACTTACAAGGGACAGCTCTTTCAAACCACCCAAGAGCTGAACTGATTTATGCTCTGGTTGTCTGCGTATAGAAATGCTATTTCTCCACACCTTGGACCCACTCTGTTGTCTCTGTTACATGTTTTGCTACTGAGGGGAGGCTCTCACTGTTTCCCACCTGCATTTCATTTCTAGTTACTGACTGGGTAGCTCTATGTGTGCATGGCATTTATTTTCTGAGTTTCATTTTTATAATTTCTATCTAGTTCTGGGGGGTAGAGAGACCTTTTTTCAAGAACTTTCTGGGTGTTTTTCTGATCTTCACCTTTGCTATGGTATGCTGTGTACTATAGCCTTGAGGGTCTGAGGTCTTCCTGGTTATGCAGGTTGAGCCATTTCCATTAGCCTTTAGTTTGTCCAGGAAGGCCTTCCTTATACACAGACAATAAAAAGTTCAATGCAGTCTCTAATACTTGCATAACTATATTTTTTTATGTTTAGATATTAGTTTTATCCATCACATTTGGTTTTTTGAAGATAGGAGCAAGAAGAATCCTTATTTTTTTCAAAATGTATAGTCCAGTTGTTTTAGCTGGATTGTCTCTACGTTCCTAAACTTATCTGTAGCTGAGAGATTCGGAGGTTACCTTAAGAAGGCCTGGTGAGTCCTTCAAACTAAAACTCTTATTTTTCTTTTGTACCTGCTCAGAGTACATTTAGTTCAAGGGTGGACATAAAACATGTTGTTTTTACAATATATTCTTAAGAGCCATAAAGGTTCTTTGGGTTCACCATCTGCCGTAGACATTTCATCTGTAGCACCTTCAATGAGTTCTTTCTGTCCATTGGACAATCACACAAAGTTCACGCAAACAAAAGTCTCAGGTTCTTGCAATGGTTAAAAGCATTCAATTCTTTCTTCTCTCAGGTCCTTCAGAAAAGTGTGATCATTGGAGTGATTGAAGGTGGAGACGTGATGGAAGAGAGGTTGAGGTCGGCCCGAGAGACAGCCAAGCGACCTGTAGGGGGCTTCCTTCTGGACGGCTTTCAAGGGAATCCAGCAGTCACAGCAACCAGGCTACACTTGCTGTCATCGGTCACTGCCGAGCTGCCAGAGGATAAGCCAAGGCCAGTGCTGGCTCAGGCTGCAGGCCAGCCTTGGGGGAGGCGGCCAGAGGTGCTGATGACAGTGTTGTGCAGGGTTTCTACAGGGTGTCTTTTCCATGTCTTGATTATGTCCTTCCTGTCTTATTTTCGGCCAGCTGGGAAATTTGCATTGAGGCTGCTATCCTAGTTTCAGAATGTAGAAGGGGATAATTGGCACGGAATTAGTTTATTTGATCCTCATAACTGAGGGCAAGTGTTTTGTCATTCTTAAGCCAAATACAAACCCTGCTTTGTATTCATGGTAACATGGTACCTGGAGACAAGTGTGAAGTCATAGCACTCCAGTGTAAAGCAAGGCATGTGGGAATCTGTGGGATGAGGATATGCTCTGTTGATAAGAACCTTCAAGAAGACTGCTTTTGTGACAAGTTCTAGCTAGTAGTGAGTGGTGTTGCTTTGTTTGTCGTTTGTTTAATTGACGTGGCTAGTGGAGTTGGTTCTTTTGTTTGCATGTATCTCAGAATACTGCGTGGTAACAAGCGAGGATCTGGAAATTCTGGATTTCAGCAACTGATATCATACTAGTATCTAAGCTTTTTTTTTTCTTAATGTATTTATTTGTACTTCTGTGGAGTCTTGTGTACTCCAGGTTGGCTTCAAACTTGCTCTGGATCCTTCAGCCTCTGCCTCCTGAGAGCTGGGATTACAGGCATGTGCCATTGCTCCTGGTTTATACAGTGCTTGGGAATGGAGCCTAGAGTTTTGTGCATGCTAGGCAAGCAGTTTACCAACTGAACCATATCCCCAGCCACATTTTCTTTTTTTATTAAAAATATACAAGCCAAAACCTAAACCCATAGGTAACCCTAGAAGTCATTGTATTGAATGAATAAGACAGGTACGGAAAGAGCTACTGTGTGACCTCACCTTTGTGGAACGTGCAAATGTCCATCTCCTTGAAGGCTAAGAAGAGTGGGAGCAAGGAGGGTGGGCAAGATGTTTGTCAAAGAATGCATAATTATAGTTAAAACACAGGAGTAGGCTTAGTAGATTTGTTGTGCTGCCTGGCGACTGTGGTTCACGATGATAATGTTGTGTTGAAAACTGAACAGAATGGGAATTAAGTGTTGTCACCAGAAAAATGGTAATTGTGTGAGATAATGCATTTGTTATTTGGCTACGTTTCCCCATTTCACAGTGTATACAAATTCCAAAATACATTGTTTGTGGAAAATACATATAATTTTATATGTCAAAAAAAGATTTTTCAGTCTTTTATCCTTAATGTGAATATTCTTGCCTTTTTACCTGTGACACATTGAGAAACTTGACTCTGAGATGCTACTTTATTCTCAAGGACTATTATTAGACAGGGCATGTGTAATCGTATTACTTTTTGAAAGCCAGATATAATTACATGCAGTGAAGTACGTGCATCTTAGAGATAGCTTAGAGAATAACACTTGTGCACACAAGGTGTAAGGGTCCCCTAGAGCAGTCTTAACAGCTATCCTACCAGCCTTTGTAAGTATGAGCACATGCACGCACGCGCACACACACACACACACACATGCACACACACACACACGTGCACCCCCCCCACACCAACTTTTAACATCATCCTTTTCCTGTGCCCATTCACTGTGCTATAGATGAACAGCTCAGATGAGCTTTTCTAGTCATTTTCTGGAGTTTCTTGTACTAAGTGTTCACAGATGTCTCTTTCTGAATTTGAAAGCTGGGATTGTTTTTCTCTGAGTGTGTAGAAATGCCTGCTTCAGTTGGAGTGGAGTTCTAAAACCTCAGAGGGATTGAAGGAGGCTGTAGTCAGGAAAGCTGGCATACGTTTAAGGGTTCTGCTTGTTTAATATTACATAAGTCCTTTCTAAAAACTCCTTTAAGGAATCAGAAAGTCTGAAAGCCTTTCTCCTCTAATTCATGAAAAGGGCTATGGGTACAAAAACAAACATTAAAAAAAGAAATAGTTTCAGCTAGCTTGTCCTCATCATGTCCATCTCTGTCTTGTTTTATGGCAAAACCTCCTTGAAAATTATTAATGCTCCCAGACTGCCTTAACCCTTGCCTTGGAAGACACCATTTCATTTCCCAGTGCAGACTTTCATTAACAAAGAAAGTACAATGAAAGCCAAGTAGACTCTTAGACCCTGGCGTCAGTGCTGAAACTCTGAGAGCAAGAGGAACTATTAAATGAATCTGCAAAATACAGTTTAAAAAATGGGGAATATTTGATGGTGAAATAAAACAAATTGTATTCTTTTAAAAACATCTCTATACTAAGGAGGACCCTAGGAAGGATGTGTAAGTCTCATTGAGAATGGCAAACAGAATAGACACCAGAAGCAGTGGAAGATAGGAAGGAAACAGGATGGGAGTCTATGGTAGAGGGCCCTCTGAAAGGCTCCACCCAACAGGAAATTGAAGCAGATGCTGAGATTTATGGCTAGACTTTGGGCAGAGTGCAGGGAGGCTTACAGAAGAAGAGAGGAGTGGGGATAGAGGGACATAGAGAGGACAGGAGCCCCAAAAAGAGACCAACAAAGCTAAAGGATCTGAGCCCGGGTGGTCCTACAGAGACTGATGTACCAATGGAGGACCACGCATGGAGAGGACCTAGAACCTCCCTCTGCTCATGTGTAGCCCATTGGCAGCTCAGTCTCCATGTGGATCTCCAAGTGAGGGGAGAAGAGGCTACCTCAACCATGAACTCGGTTGACTGCTTTCTGATCACTCGCCCCTGTTGATGCAGCCTTGCCAGGCCACGGAGGAAGAGAATCCAGGCATTCCTGATGAGACTTGATAAGCTATGGGCAGATGGCAATGGTGGAGAATTCCCCCTTTCAGTGGACTAGGGGAAGGGGTTGGGAAGGGGGGGAGGCAGGGTGGGACTGGGGGAGGGGGTTGAAGGAGGGGCTTCAATCAGGATATATAATGAATAAATTGTGAAAAAATAATAAAATTAACATTAATAAAAAACAAAACAACAAACATCTGTGTAGTGTTTAGATGGGCGCTAAACTTGAGCCTGTGACCAGGAAAGTGGATCAGAAAGGTGGGAAGGACAAATGTTAGAAATGATACTGTTTGCTTTTCAGCTGCTCCTCATGATGATTCTGTGAAGATCTTTACAATTGCTCTTGCTCTGACAAGAGGACTAGAACAGGGATGTGAAGAAACTGCCCAAAGCAACACAGCAGTTAAATCACCAGTGAAACTGGTCACCATGCTCATGTGCCTTTCCTTTAAGCTGCAAGCCCTGCCTCACATTAAGGCCCATGTCTGCCATCCTGAGCTCTGTCACTGTTTTTTTTTATATGGTTGTTTTTAATGCCCCGTTGATCTGGAAGCATTCTCTAGTTTCATTCTGGCCATTGCCTCATGCTGCTGTTCTCATTATTGTTTCTGCAGGCTCATCTGTGGTGTCAGCCGGCCAGATGAAGTGCTCGAGTGTATTGAAAGAGGAGTGGACTTGTTTGAGAGCTTTTTCCCATATCAAGTGACGGAGCGGGGCTGTGCCCTGACTTTCACCTTTGATTGCCAGCTGAATCCTGAAGAGACATGTGGGTCTTTTGAAGTTTGCTTCACCCTTATCTTTCTCTTTCTCCTATTTCCTGTTAATTTTTGGCCTAAGTCACAAGACAGAAATATGTACACATAGCACCAGTCTTTCATAAAGGTTGATCTTGATATCTTCTTTGTGTTCCCTGGGATGTTGGCACCTAGGGCAAGGCCCTTAATACTATATATATAGGTCATCAGTATGAGAATGTGATTTTTATGGTGAATAAAACAAGACCTCCTTGTTCATAGCCTGAAAGAAAGAAAATTCAGAGTGAATTGTGATGGAAATCTAAGGAAAGGAAACCTTTGAACAGCTTAGTAAAAGTTAATTTGTTTTTTTATCCACAAAAGATTTCTTGTCTCCCTTTTGCAAGCACCATGCAATTAACTCACAGGGAGACTCATCGTCATCGGATCCTTGTGCCGCCTTTTGCTTTTCTGGGTTGTTTTTTACATACTGAGATATGAAAGCTACTTTCTTCTGCTAATATTGCTTTGAAGTGCTGCCATTTTCTTTTATTGTTCAGTTATTTCAAAGTCAAGACAAGCAATTTCAGATTCTGACACACACATGAGAGTGGAAAAGGACCTGTGACACGGACCATGGGCCAACTCCCTTGAAGCATGTCTGCACAGTCCCCCCTCCAGCTTGCAGAGAAGGGCTTCCTTGTCTTCTCTCACTTTCTTTTCAACTCTTTAATCCTATCTGTGTCTCTGTATGTACTATAAAGTCTGTGCAACGTTACCTGGTGAAGACTTTAAAGGAAGTTGTCAACTCTTCCCCTAAATGACAAGGATTTTCCAAAATGCCAGAGCTTTGTTGTGTTCCTTCTCAGCACGCGATTCGTGTGGACAGTTCCATAGCAGTCTGTGTTTTGGCCCCGTGTCATTTTACTGAAATTACCCAGAAGCATCCAGAGGCATCTGGCTGTCTTGGATCCACACAGATGGCTGTCATTCCTTTTCCAAATCCCTCTTCTCTATTTACCTCTGTTGAAGGGAGCTGGATTCCTGTAGAGTAGCTGGCCTTCCTCTTGTGGTTAAGGGAATGTTCTTCCATTAAGCTAGGAGCTCAAGGGGACGGTGTGGATTTTGTCGCCAGAGTCTCCGCACAGAAAACATAAATTAAAATCATGCTGTACATTAATCTACCTAGAATATAGGTTGTCACAAAGCCCAGTTTATTTACATGTCCATCTACGTGTCCATTGTGATAAGTCACAGTGATAACTTTTTTTTAATCATTCTTTTATGACAAGATTATGTATTATATACTTGGATCGGTGATTAGCTTGGACTTGGTTAGATATCTTCAGTTGTCTTAATGGTGTAGATAATAGTCGTTGGCCACCAGAAATGTACTTCTATTTGTTTTCCTTTTAGATAATTCTAAGTTACAGGGTTAAAGGTTGTGAAATTATAACTAGAATAAAATTTTTCTAGTGTTCACTCCTTATCTGATTTTAATTCAAGACTTTTTATTGGGTTTCCTTCAGTATTGCAACAAAATGGAATTCAAGAAGAAATAAAATGCTTGGATCAAATAAAGAAAATTGAAGCAACTGTGTGCAACCAAGAAATGACATCATTTGAAATTAATCTGAAGGAGAAAAAGTAAGACATTATTTGAAGTTTAGGTTTTGATTTCTGACTTTTTAATTTCAGTCTGTCTTAAGTTTATGTAACTGTTCCCTTTTCAGTTTATGACTTCGTAAAATATTTATAGTTGGACATAACTTAGGCCTTCTCGAATATGGTTCCAGAAACCCTTTTTTCTCCCTCTCTGCGTATGCTTTTGGATAGTTTGTCTTGTCAGGACGTTAAGCTAGATAACTATTGCTTTAGAAAAGCTGTCAGAAAGAGACCAATCCATTGCTGGGTGTTTTTTTATTCATATTACTTTTAATAATGACAGAGGAAAGTAAGGATTGCAAGTCAAAGTCGAACTTGTACTTGAGAAGAGCTTAAGTCCCTTTGACTATATACAGGCTATAAGTCAGCTATCAATGAAGAATGAACTGAGGGGGTTATGGGGGGTTATACCTTTAATCCCAGTGATTAGGCAGAGGAGGGTGGATCTGCGAGTCAGACTAGCCTGATCTATAAAGCAAGTTCCAGGCCAGCTGAGCTACATAAATCACATGCCTTAGTAGGTGATAAAAGTTAACACAAAAATAATTTTTAGTATGCGCCCCTCAGAGTTACATCCTTTTGCTGTAGTAGCTAATTACGTAACCCTCACATCCAGTGATGTAGGCTGTTGGTATCTTTCGTTAATGCATGAGAAACATGCCCAGTTGAGTGATGGAGCCTAGACTCAAGGCCCCAGGCAAAGTTTCCTACCAGAGGCCTCACTCTAAATATACAGTAGGAGTCTATATTTGTAAAATGACAATGAAAATGGTCATTTGCAAGGGAAGATGCAGAACTTGTCTAAGACAGTGTGTGAGCTTTGTAAGTTGTACAGAGGTGGTTCTGTGGCTGCTGGCACTGATGCTCGTGTGTGGAGGAGACCTAACATCATGTGCCATGATGATGCTCTTTCTGGATGAGTGGCCACTGTGAGTTCTCAGCCCCAGGCTTGTGAGGCTCAGTCTGTCAGAGCACCTCTCCAGCAGGTGCCAGGCAAGGCTGTCATTACATTGGTAACCTAGTGGGTAGCTTGGGGTCTAGATTTCTTAGAGTCTTCACTTCCTGTACTCTCTTTGACTTCCTCCCTCAGGTACCAGGAAGACTTTGACCCGCTTGTGAGAGGGTGCTCCTGTTACTGCTGTAAGAATCACACTCGCGCATATATCCACCATCTGCTGGTGACCAATGAGCTCCTGGCTGGTGTCCTGCTCATGATACACAACTTTGAACACTACTTCCGGTTTTTCTGCTCCATCCGAGAAGCACTGAAAAGTGGCACACTGGCACAGTTGAAAGAACTCATCCTCAGACAAATGTCTTGAGAACTGGAAAATACAAACCTGCCTCATGTCCAGAAACAGCAAAGCAGCAGAGATCTGAGCTGTCAGTGTTTACAGTGGGGATGAAGACCATCAGCCCCAAACTGCTCACAGGAGTGCGGGGGAGGCCTTCTGTAGGTTTCTGTGGACCAGATTGATCACAATGATTTGAACTGTGACTTTTAAATTTTCTAGGCTTATTCTACCAAAGTGTAGAGGTGCATTTAGTTGACGAAAAAAACATTAGATTTGAGAGAGACTTTGGAAGGGATGATAAGGAACTAGGAACCATTGAGATGGATGAGGCCCGCGTGGAGATGACTGCCTGAGTAGCTTGTCATAGTTGGAGGCGCAGCTATTGCCTGGAGAAGTCGTCTAGCAGCATTGACCAACGGTTTAGTTTGTGTCTCCTCATGTTGCAAGGGGCTTTGGGGCACGCTTTCGTCTTTAGTGCTTCCATGGCAGTGCTCAGAAGGGCTCTCTTGACTTAGCTTTCCCCATCTCTTCATGAAATATGGGCTTCAAACAGTGCTTTTGTAATCACTTGACTTCATTTAGCTCCTTCGCCTATTTGTGACTTGTCTTCTAAGCCACCATTCTAGCCCGTTAGGAACCAGGTTTTGCCTAGCTGCTTTTTCTGGTCGTGCAGGTCCAGCATGATCTGCCCCAGGCTCACAAACTGTCTAACTGCATAATGACTAGCTCTGTCCCTTGTGGGAGATTCCTTTGCTGGGTGTTTATGTGGCTAGAATCCTGGCACAACATTAGAAGATCAGTTTCCATCCCACTCAGCTGTAAGCTCAGGCAAATCCTGGATTAAATGGTGACAGGCAAAAGCGGGTGAGACCAAATGATTCTGCTGGGAGTAAAATGTTTAGAATCTCAGCCATACTCATCACTCTCATTATTAATCCCTATTGGCCTGACCTTTTTAATTTTATTTATTTATTTTTTTTTAATGCAGCAATAAATTTGTCCTGTGGATTTTGAAGTGGTTAGTGAATTGGCATCTGCAGACCCTGAGGCTGGTTGTCCTTCGTGGGTTCTCTATAGTTCTTTTCTTTTTTTGGTGGCATGGCCGGGCTTTTTTTATATGTGTCTTTTCTATATCAGTTTTTCTAAGGAGTACACGAAACATATATGTGTATACATGTGTTTTTATAAAAATAATGTAACTTAAAAGATCAATTTTTGTAGGTATAAGAAATGCATTTCTCATATTTTATTGATTTTCAATTTATAGTGGCATTACTGAACATTGTATATAGTAATTATATAGTTACTGTATTTTTATGTGATGGAAGTCCAACTTTGTTTTTCCTTTTTTGGGGCATGACTGCTCTGTGAATCCAAGAGATGCTTATGGAGACAGATTCTGTTTTGTGTTGAATGTGTTTTGTACTTGTTTATATGTTAGTATTCTTGGTCAATACCAAACCCATTATTGAGGGGAATATTAGTAAATATCCAAGAATCCATATAAATTTATGAGTTTCATTTATCTCCAAAACACTGAAAATTCTGTTAAACATTGTTCAGTTCCTTGGATCTTTTTCTTATTAGCACATTTGAAAAAATCCTTTCCTTTTATGTGTAAATGTAGTAAAGGCAATATTCAGTAAACATTTTTAATTAAAATAAACCTTCATTGCATATTGCCTTTTTATAAGTGGTAATAAGTCTACTAAAGTATTAAATTTCCATGGTACAGGGACTGTCCTAAAGATTTCTCGTGGGAAAAAACTCTCTTCAGATTTAATCATTTGTGTTTACTATATAAATGTTGCATTTAAGGGAATATTATTCAGTATATATTACCTGCCTCTATACATTATATAGGTAGTGGCTAAAATGACATGGTAATGCATAGTAATACGTTCACAGTCTCTGGAGCAGTATTTTTGTTGTTTTTGTTTTCAAGACAGGGTATCGCTGCGTAGCCTTGACTGTCCTGGAACTCATTCAGAAAAGCAGGTTGTCCTCAAAGTCACAGGGATCCACCTGCCTCTGCCTCCCAAGTGCTGGAATTAAAAGGCAAGTGGCACTGCTGTCAGGCAGCAGTTTTTAAAGTCTCTCTGTGTGTGTTTACAAATATGCCTTGACTCCTGTGGCACAGGACAATTTTCAGGAGTTGGTCCTCTCCTTCCTTCCACCATGTGGGTTGTCTGGCTTGGCGAGAGCCTTTACTTGCCGGGTCACCCCAGTGGCCCTGTTTGGATGGAGCATTGTGCCATAGCAATGCTATGACGACATAGCAAATGCTTCTGTAGCTCATTGACCGAAGAAGCCTGTCTGTGAGGGGCTGTTATCCCCGTGTTGTGAACTGAGGTTTAATAGAACATTACTTTAGCCTGCCCGAAGATCTTCCAGAAGTAAGGTCACTCCTCGGCTCCCAGGTTAAATTCTAGCCTCCCCTGAGTAAAGCACAGCTGTTCACCATGGCAGCTAATTCTTAGTTATGAGTAGGCGTGGCGGCGCCTGCCTGTGATTCCAGCCCTTGAGAGACTGGAATGGGAAGATTGTGAGTTCAGGACCAGCCTGGGCCACAAAGCAGGCCCCTGTCTCAAAAATACTTCCCTCCCTGCTCTCCCTCCATGTTTTGACTTGCTTCTGGGTTGACTATACTGAAAGGATCAAGACTGAATTGATGGCACTATCCCAGTGGGAAGAGTTGACCTGACAGTTGTGTCCACATCACCATGCTGGTTCCTCTACAGGTTCAAAATCAGCTGCCAATCAGTATCTCCCAATCCCCCAGCTAGCCACACCCTGAAGATGGCTGAAAGGGTTTAAGGTTTTGATTATCTCAAATGAATACAGTGGTCAGTAGAGAGTCTGGGGTTTCTTATACATTTGAGGATATAGAGCTATTTTGTTATTCTCTGGAGCAAAGTAAAGAGAAAACATTTTTTTAAGCCAATGCTATAATTAAAGCCATTTAATAAAAAGTTCAAAGACCATCAAAGGGTCTAGTTGAGAATGTGAAGCAACTGCCTTATCAGGAATTATTTTCCCATGGAGGCAGCATGAAGCTGACAGAAATGGAGTTAAATGACCATCCTGTGCCTCCGTGATTAGAAACAGTCTGCTCTCTACAGTTTGATTAGTCATGCTTGTCACTATGGGCTTTCAGCTTATTAAAACTGGCAGTGCTGTTTGTGTAGGTCAGAGAGCCTAGAAGGTCACACTTAACACAGCAGCACTAAGCAAGAAAGGGTTGGTGGAACCGATGTTCATTTTATTTAGTGTTGTGTGTGTGCGTGTTGGACACACACATGAACCCACACAGGACAGGTGTGTCGGTTAGAGGACAACTTGTGGGAATTGGCTCTCCTTCCACCACACGGGTTCCAGGGCTCAAACCCAAGTCATCAGGCTTGGTAGCAAGCATCAGTCACCTTTGGGCCATCTCAACCACCTTACAGCTTATTTGAAATACTGTATCGAACAGCTTTGATTTCTTTTCCACCTTCACTTCTCCATTTTGCATTTATGTTCCTTGTCATCGTGAGGTTACGACTTTAGAAGACAAAACCCAAAGAACAGGATGCAAGGAAAACTGAAGCGAGTTAATGCAAGCAATGTAACAGGGAAGTCTTTTGTCCTTAATGGATATAACAGTCCTGGTTATGCCTGTGGTCCAGGTAATTATTACTGGCACTCCCTTCGCCCTCAGAAGTGCCCTAATTTCCACAAGTTATATGCTCAACCAAATGAGAGTGGTAGAGGTGACCAAACTGGAGAGCAGGTGGCCATGCAAGCCGTGCAGCTGCTACCCACTTCCTGCTAATTGCTGCCGAGGCCAGGCCTGCCACATATTCCAGCCTTTCAAGAGAAGCCAAAAATCTGGGTCCTCACGCTTTTTAAATGTTGCAGCAATTAAAAAAAATATTTTGCTCTCTGAACTTAATTTAGGGGTGCCTAATTTGCAAGCTGTGGCTTAAAAATCTACAAAGGTGGCTTTGGCATCTGTGTGTGTGTGTGTGTGTGTGTGTGTGTGCGCGCGCGCATGTATGATGTGCATCGGTCTGGCAAGGTGGCTGAGTGGTTGCACTTGCAGCACAAAGCTTGCCAAACTGAATTCAGTCAGCAGAGCTCACATAAAGGTGGAAGGAGAGAACCAGCTCCACCAAGTTGACCTCCGACCTCCACGCTCACACTGGCATTCCTCTACCCAACGATGCACGTATGTGCATGCACTTTTTTTTTTTTTTTTTAAGAAGAGATTTAAAAAATCTTGTGTGAGAGACTGGGATGTAGCTCATGTGGTAGAGTGCCTGCCTTGACAGGCGTGAGGCCTTGACCCCGGCACCACATAAAATGAGGCATGGTGGCACACACTTGTAATTACAGCATTTGGAAGGTGAGGATAGGAGTATCAAAGTCGTCTCCGGCTACATAGTGAACTCTGGGTCAGTCTGGAGTGCTTGAAACCCGGTCTTCTCAGAGTGCAGAAAGCCCATATGAGGTCCTCAGGCCATGTGCTCCATTGTACCATGCCCAGAAAGGAATAACTCACCCTTGCTCAACCAATTTTGTGGGTAGTAAGTTTTGGTCTTAAGAATAAAAAAATAGCAGCTGGTGTTCTTTCCTTTTAAGGGCATCTTAGTCTACTCAGCTGCCTGTAACAAAGAACCAGAGACTGGATGGCTTATTAAAAAAAAAATTTTTTTTTTCTCATGGTCTGGAGGCCAGAAGTCTTGAGATCAGTGTGGCAACATAGTTGGGTTCTTGAGAGGATTCTCTTCTGGATACCCAAAGTATTGCCTTATGTTTTCATATATGGAAATATATACTTCATATAACAGAGAAAAGTTTAGCGAGCTCTCTAGGGTCTCTTCTATAAGAGCACTAATCCCATTTGTTGGGATGCACCATCATGTCCTAAATTACCTTCTGGCCTCATTAGCACCTGGGACTCTGACATATGACATCAGGAGTGATGCAAGCATCCTGCTCATGAGGAACCAAGCCTGCACACAGTCTTTCTAGTTACCATGTTAGCTCTCTTTGCATCACAACTGTTTTGGGTTGGGCCTGTGCCCTTCCAGGATCAGCATCCATTTCCTAGGAATCACTTTTTTTCTTTTCTCAAGGCAGGGTTTCTCTGTGTAGCCCTAGCTAAGCAGGCTGGCCTCAAACTCACAGAGATCCATCTGCCTCCACCCCCAGAGTGCTGGGATTACAAGTGTGCGCCAGCATACCTGGTTAAGAATCACTTTCTGATGACCCTTTCTGGTGTTACAAAACCAGCTGGTCCAATAACATCAGGCGTCCGCCTACACCCCCAGCAACAGCCCCAGCAGGCTCACTGAGAACCCAATTACTGTTTGTCCGGGGAGCAAACATCCTCAGAACAGTCCTTTTCTTGAGAGCTTAGCCTGCCACACTGGTTAGGAGTGACTGGAGCGACAGTGTGTTCTAGGACCTGTGCACAGTGTCATCTTGTCAGTGGTAGTTTTAGCTCACTTTATGCTAGGCGAGCTCCCAGTGACCCGGCACATCGTTATTATTTTTCTGTTACTCAGTTCCACTTCCTATTATTACCACCTTTTAGAGCTGACCTGAAAGCAATTTACCCTGCTCCTGCAAGGGGAACTCACAGTGAACTCTTCCTTTGTTCTCCTTCCTTAAGCTCCACTCTTGAGGCCTGTCTGAAGTTGCCAAGGAGTTCAAATGGCCCCCGTGCTCCCACCAGTATGATTCAGGGGGATTAACCACCCTCTCTGCACCCTCTTCCAAGTGCTCGCCTCTCTTCCCGAGCTCTTCTCCCCTGCTGTCTGCTCCTTTGTCTGTGAAACACATTTTCTCTTATTATCACCTTGTTCCCTGCATGCCTCGGATGGCTCCAGCTCATCTCTTAACAGAATCAAGATGTTGCTATTAACGGTCTTCTCTTAACAGCTCAGAGTCATTTCTTTATATTTAGTTCTTTCCCCCTTTCCCTCCCAGTTCGCATAATCATCTTTGCTTCAAATAAAGTTTTATAGCCATTCTCATAACCATGGCTTTATAGTTCCTATCAAAAAGGCAGAAGAGGAGGAGATAAAATCAGCAGAGGGAGAAAAATAAATAAAAGGTGAAGGGGTGAGGGCTATTCCAATAATGGAGGAACCCGGCCAGCATCTTCCGGACTCCTCTGCAAAGGAATCCAGGCGACCTTAGTCCTCAAGCCTACGACCGCAAGCTTGGTGGTCCGGCGAAGTTTTCCTTCAACTTTTATGGATGGGTAGGAAGGTGGTCTCTCCTCTTAGGACCTGTTTTCCTTCCAAATAATTAAAACACTGTCTTAGAATTCTCCCAGCATCATTCATGTTGGCCATAAATCCTTTCACAGAATCCAATTACATGATAGATAAGAGTTTTGCAAATCACATCCCCCCCAAAGCTAAAATATTTACCCATATTTCCTAGCATTTTCTATTCCCCACTCATTTATTTTTATTTTCATTTAGCAAACTTAAATAACATTTCCATCACAATTCCGTTTATTGTTCCCCATGATGCCAGCTGAAGAAAACACAAACGATGCAAATAAACCCTGTTCCCACATAGTAATTAGACATCAAACAAGAAGAGAGTGGCACTGTGTTCAATTTTTTTTTTTTTTGT